GAGGCTAAAACAAGAGGGGGCGGATCTTCAAATCCACTTTAAAATGCCACAAGCTGTCTGGTATACATTATACGGTGGTGGATACTTACTAAGATACTGGTTCTAAATATTATGTCTAGGCCAGTGGTAGCGAACCTATGGCACGCGTGCCAGAGGCGGCACTCGGAGCCCTCTCTGTGGGCGTGCCTCTCCCCGCAGCCCCTTCTTCACCAGCAGCCGCCATGGAGGAGAGTCGCCCCCGGGCACAGCCCACACAGAGCAGCACAGCCAAGGACGTAGCCGGGCAGCAGGGACAAGGCTCCGCCCTCATGCCCCATAGTGTGCAGATGATGCTGTGGGATGTGGGTGGAGGGCGTGGCTGCCATGGCGCTGCCGGGCTACCTGGACGATCTGCTGTGGCAGGCCATGGAGCGGTACGTGGCCCTGCGGGCAGGGCGGGAGGCAGAATGGGGGCGGGTTTGGGGCACTCGGCCTCTAAAAGGTTCGCCATCATTGGTCTAGGCTTTCCCAATCCACTTTATCTGCAAAGCCTCCTAGTTCTTCCTAAAGTAAGCTATCTTTTATCTGCATAACCAAGGACTAAGGCAACTAATTTTCATTATATGTTTTGAAAAACAGAGAATGCGGGAAAGAACCCTTATCAGAATTTGTATTCAGAAGCCAACAATCGAAAACTATCAGGGTGCAAATAATTACAGTGTCCTGCTTTGGAGCATTCTAGATTCACTAAGCTGTGGGCTGACCAAAGAAAGCAATTAAGAACACAATAGCAGTTTTGCTCCATCCAAAAGGACATCTGGTTGCGGGTTCGGTTGCCCTCAGTGGTGAAAGCAATTCACCAAGTCTCCACCACAACCTCACCAAATGTGAAAGCAAAATTCCTCTACTGTATATAAACCTGAAAGGTCGTTTTTTTAAAAAAATATGAATAGCACTATGTACATTGAGAGATTTATTTTCTAGGATTCTTGATACCTACAGAGATGAGAAGGTATCTCTGAGCAAACACATTTATATTTTCTCATTTCAGACCAGTCAAATGCTGCTTTCCAACAGCTCACCTTCTAGAACGTGACCTCCTAGGAAAATCCCGGAGAGTGGGATACCGTGGTCTTCCCTCATGGTGCTCTCTGCTACGAGACCGCCGCCTCTTCCATCTATGGCTCATATAGGGCTCTGGCTCGGGTGAGTGGTAACGTTTGCAGTGATGCATCTGAATACACAGGGGAGATATGTGTGTGAATGAAAGAAACCACCTCTCCAGCAGAACAAGTTCATCCCAATAATTCACACCTTTTTGCCCCCATTCACAACCTTCAAAAATCCTACTACACTCTTGTTTTTGTTAGTGTATCCTCAAGAAGACAGGTTAGTGAAGCATCAAATTCAAGAATATTCATACCAGTGGTCTTAAAAAGACCTTTATGACATAAGCAACAGACAGATTGTCTATGAGCAATCATGTTAAAGGAATATTACCTATTTATATTAACGTTCTGTCGGAAATGTTATCACCTGAGCATAGCTGACACAAGATAAATGTAATGAGACTCACTATGTACATCATAAGGATATTGTTACTTGTTTCTATCTGGTAAGCTTTTTGGAGAAATAATTATAATGCAAACAGCTTCTGGAACTGCAAGTCAAAGCATCTCAGTTACTGTTTTGACTTGCTAAAATAAAGAAAAGAACCAGAAATTTCTTAAGTCAGTATTTCATTAAAAATAACAAAATAATAAAATAAAATAAAAAATGATTAGCTGCAGAAGCAACATACTAAAAGAAATTAATATATAAAGTTATTTAAAATACGTACAAATTACTAGTATCTAACAAGAAGCCGTTGTATGGGATTAATGTTTAAAGATAGGAATTTTATTCTAAATTTTAAGGCTAGTCATCCATAAAGGGAAGAAAAGAAGGAAATGGTTACTCATATAGCAAAGCTGTCATTCCAGTCAGATATTCTTCCATACTAGTGTCAACAAAACAATTATGTTAAAAAAAAATTCCACCACTCCCAATGAGAGCTAAGCCCCGTAATCAGATTCTAATTTCTAATTTATTCTCAAAATCACAACTATAGAACTGGGGATACAGGACTCTAATGAGATTAAAAAAGAAAATAATGTCCTTTATCTAATATTTTCTCTCTCCCCTGGAAATTTCCATACAACTCTTACAATAAAGGTTTACATAAAAGCAAACTTAACAAAATAGTAACTGATGTATGATCATAAAACCTATACATCTAAGAAACTAAGTGTACAGTTTGTAAAAAGAGCATGCAAGGTATTTATATAGTTGACCTTCAAATAACAAAATGCACCTTTGTTCAAAGCACATATCCTAAAAACAGCAGCCACTACCATACTGAATTGACTACTACTAACTACGAACAACCTTTCCAAACTGATGCACATCAGATGTGTACACTACACCTGTAGTTTGACACACCTGGACAGTGGTCCGAAGGCTGAAGAGAGGGTATAGGTAAGCCATTCAAGCAAAGCAAAAGAACCAAAGGCTCACTTCACCCCAAGCATGCATCACTGGTTTTATATTGCAGAAAGCAAAAGAAGCCCTCGACTTTTATGACCATGTTTCACATTTAATGACCGTTGCATCGCCACAGTCATGTGATTTACATCAGGATGTTTGACAACTGACTCATAGTTATGACAGCGGACACGATCCCCTTTTTTGATCATTTTTCACATTTAATGACCGTTGCATCGCCACAGTCACGGGCTTTACATCAGGATGTTTGACAACTGACACAATCCCCTTTTGAGACTTTCTGACCAGCAAAATCAAGAAGGGAGAGGAAGCCGGGTCATTTCACAACCGGGTCACTAATTTAACAAATTGCCATGATTCACTTAATGGACAGAGGGGGCAAAATCTGCTTAACCAATTCCTGGCTTAGCAAGATCGATGTCGGGCTCAAGCTGTGGGTCATAGTTTGAGGACTACCTGGTGTGTCGTGCTTTTAAAGACGACGGGTGGGGGCGGGGGGCAGGAGGTTGTTTGCACCAAGCTGGATAAAACCCAACTAGCCAGAATATAACCATCATGGCTTCCATAAGGAGCAAGATTTAAAAAATAAATAAATCCGGGGCCATCTTTGCAGTAGACACATTTCATGACGGTACTTTTTATCTTTGGGCAGGTTCAGGAGGAGCAAAGAACCCCCTTGGCCCCCGAATGGGCCCGGAGCCCTCTCCCCAGCGGGTCCCGGCCTTGCCCACTCCCAAAGCGCGCCCCACCACCAGGCCAGGCCCGCGGGAGGCATCCCGGAGGGGGAGGCCGAGCCACACCCGCCGGACGGCCCTGCACCGACCGGTGCGGGCGACCACAAAGCGGGGTTTGCCGGTGGAAAGCCAGCTCCGGGCCGCCCCTTACCCTCGTCTCCCCCACCCGGCGGGGATCCCGGGCGCGATCAGGAACCACAAAAGCCGCATTCGGGGATGGGGGACCCGTCCGGCGGGCGGAAGGGACCGTCCACATCTGCTTCCAGCCGCGGCGCGGCGCCGAAGTTCCCGCGAGATTTGGGGGACCGAATTCGTGGCAGTCCCGGAGGGGGGGGGGAATAGAACGGTGAGGCCTTTGGAGGGGCGGGGCCCGCTCTCCTGCGAGGGAAGCCAAGCTCCGCCTTTCCTTTCAAGCTTCCCTCAGAAGCGGCGGGTCTGGCTACTCCGACTAGGCCCGTCGTCGCAGGCGACGGCTTTCCCGCTTCTACCCCGCCCTCTCCGCCTCATAAGCGCCCCGAGTACCGAACGAGCCCCGTCCCTCACCGCTGTTTCCGGCCCCTCCGAGGCCTCCGACTCGGCTCCTCCGCCACCTACGACGCCGACGACGAAAACGACACTTGCGCGCAGGCGCACTCGGCCGTTCTAAGCGCTGTGAAGGGGCGGGGGAAGAATCTCGCTGGCGGTCGTCGTGCGGGCTAGAGCGGCAACGTCGATGTCCTCCCCTGGGCCGGACGCCCCGCCTGGTCGACGGCATCGGCCGCTCTAGGCGTCCGGCTTAGTGGTATTGGAGGACTGCGGCAAGGAAGCGTAGAGTCGCAGGAGACGTGTTATTATTGTTGCTGTTGTGGTTGTTATTGTTGCAATAGATAGACTGCCGAATCTGTCAGGGCTCTGGCAACTTATCAGAAAGACACATAGGGACAATAAACCAAGTGTGCAAAGGAAAGCTCTACACACTAATTAAAAGGGTCTCCAAGCCAATTAAAATTCAGTATAAAAATTAAATCAACTAAGGCAAACTATACCCAAACGGAGATGGAACCAGTGCATAAATGCCTTTTGAACAGCTCCCAGAAAGCCTTTGAGGTGGGAGTCAACTGGGAAGCCATTCCAACGTTACATAATAATTTTATATAAATAATTAGGAAACTAGATGGCTATCCTGTGCATACAAGTAGTCCTTGACTTACAACAGTTTGTTTAGTGACTCTTCAGTTATAACAGCGCTGAAAAAAGTGACTTATGACCGGTTTTCACAGGACCATTGCAGCTTCCCCAGGGTCACATGATCACATGATTTCCCATGTTTGCCACTTTGCCACTTTCTGACAAGCAAAATCAATGGGGAAAACAGACTCACTTAACAACTAGGCTACTAATTTAATAATTCCAATGTTTCGGTGAACAACTGTGGCAAGAAAAGTCGTCAAATGGGGCAAAACTCACTTAACAAATGTCTCACTTAGCAACAGAAACTTTGGGCTCAACTGTACCTCTACTTACCTATAGGTAAGCACCGTTTAAGGCAGTAGGACTTAACCAAATCCTGCTGCAAAGCATTGCTGCAAATTTATGTCTCTTTTCCTTTAGATCATTTTGACAGTTTGTAGATAAACGTTTGGTGAAACATTCCTTCTCAGCAGGTTACAACAGGCTAAGCCACATTGGCTCCATTCACAGCCTGGGCAAAAGATGGTTAATTGGAGATTCGTGGTTTCATTCAGGCCCCACGGGCTTGCCCTGGATGCTGAATTAATTCTCTTCTGCATTTACAGAAGATGCTGCACTGTACTTGAATGAAATGGTCTTTCTTTTGGGTAAGCTTAACTAAACACATTATACAGCTATTAAATCTTCAACTGATTAAATGCATCATGTGAATGAAGCTGTGCGACTCAACCTGGTTTGGCTAGCTTTATTATTTAACACCCTTGTGACTCCAAACAACTAACATTTGTGATTCAGCTGATCATTATGCAAACAGACCATTGACGTCATTAGCTTGGAAACTTAATATATGAACAGAGCCATCTGATTTATACATGGCTCCATGCCATGTATGATTCTGGTCAATTGTTTATTCACAGAACCGTGTTAAATCCCACCGCTTTATTCATCAAACCAATATGGCATCATAAAGTCTGCATTTGTTTATTTGTTAACTCCCCATTTTGTCTTTGGAAGTTTTAATAATCTAGTCTGCTGACGAAGGTCAGTGAACTCAAAATTGGTTTTATTTCTTTGTGGTTTTCCAAATGCTATTTTTGACACATCATCCCTTACAGTGACTTTTGATTGTTTTTGCTTGTAAGGAACGAGCAAAGCCACTGCTATCAAAGTGCCCATCTTCACAGCTTCAGGAGCGCCTGGCAAAGTTTACCTTCTTCCTCTTGGCACTTTTCCATTTCTTCTTACCTGGCAGGTGCCCATGTTTCAAAACTCCCAGTTTCCTGAACAACTGAAATCAAGTAAGCAGCGAGATTAGTTGCCACCACAGTTCCCATAGCAGCAACTGCCATGTTCCTCTTGGCATGGGAAAAGCTAGTGCCCTCAGAAGCCAGCTTGATCAAGTGGGGAGATTGTTGCTCACTCCCCACTTATTGTGAGATCTGCATTGGCAGCCCTGATTATTAGGAGGTAAGCAGGAATGATCATTGCTTTTTAAAATCACTTTTGTCTGCAATCTCCCTTTTAACAGAACGCTGGGCTCATTTGTTCAACACATCTGGGAAAAGGTAGCTTTCTAATTAGAATAATTTTTAATTTTGCTCCCTGGTTACGGAACTGTCTCTCTACAGACACATGAGTTTTGGCTGAATGTGAGAATCTGTTTTTTCCTGGGATCTCTTCCCAACAGTGACGCTGCTATAGTTCCTGGTTCAAGTTGGGCATTTGGTTTTTTTGTCCTCTTTAGCTGAATTTTTCCAGGTAAAACTCCCAAAGAGTCCGCCTTCTCTTTATTGCATCCACCAAAAGCTGCTTCCTTTTAGGTTTTTTTTTTCATTTCTTTTCTTGTAGGTTCCTACATATGTATCATTTTAGCCCTAGATCAGCAAATCTTTGTTTTGCATTCTTGATTTACTGAACATTATTGTATTGTATTGTATTGTATTGTATTGTATTGTATTGTAGATGTTTTCTCTTGAAATAAAGGGAAAGTTTACTTATGATGAAAAGCTCCAACTATGAAAATACAAATATAATCTAAAATTTGGCATTAGATAAAACAGTTCAATAAATTAATATTACATAAAATATTTAAAACTCAACCTTGCAGATACTTTACTAAAGAACTGTAAAACAATTAGCTGAATGAAATAATGCACTTATCCTGGATTGTTTAATAAATTGAACCATCTCTTTTAAAGACTGCTTGGCAGGTGATGACTTAACTGAAGCCATCTAGTGAATTTATGACTACATTTAGGAAATTCGAACCAATTACCTCATTGTCTGCGGTCGAAAGTATGTCATCAGAATGAAGCTTTGGTCCATGAGGGTAGAGAATGTGAATTTTTGAACATAGTTTGGAGGAACAAATTGGAGACTGTTTAAATGTCCCAAAGGTGCTTTTTCAAAAGGCAACTGGACTTTCTTCATTTTTCCTTGAAGATGTTTCACTTCTCATCCAAGAAGCTTCTTCAGTTCTTCAGTTCAGAACTGAAGAACCTTCTTGGGTGAGGAGTGAAATATTTTCAAGGAAAAATGAAGAAAGTCCAGTTGCCTTTTGAAAAAGCACCTCTGGGACAACCACGATCTGGAGGACTGAGAATCTCCATAGACTGTTTTAAATGTCCTGACTGTGAGATTTTCATTCCATTCTGAAGAAACTTTTTCATGCATTGGGGAAAATGCTAATTTTTGAGGGAAAAATTTCCTCCCCCTCTATTTTGGGTCCTAGATTTTTTTTTTTTTAGGTTCTTCAGACTGGATTCACAAACCTCCATCAGCCCAAACTTCAGACTGGATCGCCACATTGATCTGGCCACATTGCTCAGGAAAGATAAGTTTCCCTGGGATTCTCCGCTCTTAAATGTTACTCCGCAAGTGGACTGGATTTCGGAGTTTGCCTTCCCGATACGGAGGCGTTGATGGAGGCTTCCGGCGCACCTCTGTGGAGACAGGAAGCTCCAGTCTTCCTGGCCAAGGGTCAGAAAATTCCAGCGGGAACCGCGTGTCCTTCTCTCCGTCACTTTTGGCCGCTGGGCTGGAGGTCGGTGTGGAAAATGCCCTTCTTTCAAAGAGTCCTTTTCCATCACAGGTAAGCACTCAGGTGTTTCTGTTGAAGCTCAGGGTTCTCAGTTAACAACCGCTTGTTTAGTGACCGTTCAAAGTTACAACAATACTGAAAAAAAGGGACGTATCGCCATTTTTCACCCTTACGACCTCATTGAGCATCCTGCTCAGGCAGGAAACTCTATACCATTTCAGACAAATGGCTGTCCAGTCTCTTCTTAAAGACTTCCAGTGTTGGAGCATTCACCACTTCTGGAGGCAGGTTGTTCCACTGGTTAATTGTTCTCACTGTCAGGAAGTTTTTCCTTAGTTCTAGGTTGCTTCTCTCTTTGATTAGTTTCCATCCGTTGCTTCTTGTCCTGCCTTCTGGCGCTTTGGAGAACGGCTTGACTCCCTCTTCTTTGGGGCAGTCCCTGAGATATTGGAACATGGCTGTCATGTCCCCCCTCGTCCTTCTCTTCATTAAACTAGACATACCCAATTCCAGCAGCCGTTCCTTAGATGTTTTAGCCTCCAGTCCCCTGATCATCTCTGTTGCTCTTCTCTGCACTCTTTCTAGAGTCTCAACATCTTTTTTACATCGAGGTGACTGGATGCATGCTTTTTCCTCTCTCTTCTCCAAGAAGCTCTGATTTCCTCCTGTTCTTCCCGAAACCCAATGTTAGATATTTCAAATTGGTACCCATTCGCATCCGTTTTGAACTCTTCTTTCCTCTTTCCATCCCCTCAGCTGAAGACCAGTGGGGTAACAGAAGCCCTGGAGCTCAACAGCCCACAAAGCAGCTCAGGAGGAACCAGCACGAACCTCCTACACCCTGGGCCTCTTCTGAGAGCCATGTCTGTGGACCACCAGCCTGGTATTCAGGCCAACAATGACAGAATGTAGGTTTGAAATAATCTGGAGATGACGAGGGAAAGCTTTTGCATGAAATCTAAGAGGGGCATGTGGTTCAAAATTTACTCTTTTGGATACAGTGGGACTTATTCTAAGGCAGTGGTTCTCAACCTGTGGGTCGGGATCCCATTTGGGGTCGAACGACCATTTCACGGGGGTCGCCAAACAACGCAGTCCGCCATTTTTTCTCCTTTTCCTTAGCTGTGCTACTCCCTTTTATTCTATTGGCTTTTGAAAGCCAATAGAATAGACTCTCTTGAATAGAGTCTAATTCTATTGGCTTTCAAAAGCCAATAGGAATTGTCCAGGCTGTCTCTGCCTGCTGAGCCCGCCAAAAGTCCCAGTCTGCAAACGGTGCTGCACCAGTTGAGCAGTCCTCGACTTACGACCGGTTGAGTAGTCCTCGACTTACGACCGGTTGGGGGTCGCAGCATTAAAAAGGTTGAGAACCACTGCTGCAAGGTAACCGCACTGCAGCCAGGATAAACAAACTATATAGGCTGCAGAAGTTTCAGTTCTGTGGTTGGGCGAGGACTCGAATCTGGGTCTCCTTAGTTCAAGTCCGACATGCCAAAACCATTGCATCCTCTTGGCAAACTAAACTCTCAACCTCTAATGTCACCGTATAATTTGTAGGAAGGTTTTTGGCCTCATCCAGGTCACAGGAGGAGAAAACATCCCGAGGATTATTGTACTTTCTGGGAAATGGGTGTCTTGCAACTGATGTGGTCCTCTCTAGGCAGGCCTGTCACGACAGTCATTTGTGGGCCGTGTCCACCAACTCATTTGCCAAGTTTCAAACTTGTGCCCAGCTCCCAAACGTTGCCTGCCTTTGGTACAGCTGAATCATCGGACATTCCTGCTTCTTTCTGAGGCTGTTTCAGTCACACGTTCAGGGATGGTGTGTTCTGGACATCTGGAAAGATCATACCACTTCTTGTAGCATTTCGATGGCGCCTTAGAGATACACAGAGCCCGCTCGGTGCAGTGGTGAACACATCAGGCTAGAAATGGGAGACCGTGAATTCTAGTCCCCACTTGGGCACAGAGCCAGCTGGGCGAGCTTGGGCCAGTCACTTTCTGTCAGCCCTAGGAAGGAGGCAATGGCAAACCACTTCTGAAAAAAACTTGCCAAAAAAACCTGGAGAGTCTAGGCCAGTGGTTCTCAACCTTTTTAATGCTGCGACCCCCAACCGGTCACGACTACTCAACCGGTCGTAAGTCGAGGATACTCAACTGGTGCAGCACCGTTTGCAGAATGGGACTTTTGGCGGGCTCAGCAGGGCAGAGACAGCCTGGACAATTTCTATTGGCTTTGGAAAGCCAATAGAATTAGACCCTATTCAAGAGAGTCTATTCTATTGGCTTTCAAAAGCCAATAGAATAAAAGGGAGTAGCACAGCTAAGGAAAAGGGGAAAAAAATGGCGGACTGCATTGTTTGGCGACCCCCGTGAAATGGTCGTTCGATCCCAAATGGGGTCCCGACCCACAGGTTGAGAACCACTGCGCTAGGCAAAGAATTGGACACGAATGTAAGAAAAAAAAGAAAACGAAAGGAAGGTACGGTCAGCTAGAGGGCAGCACCTAGCTGACCATTGTAGACAAACAACGAAATGGACAACAGAGCCTAGCTGGCATGAAAAACATTAAAGAGGGAAGCACTTGGTTAGTACATAGAAAAACAAATAGAATAGAGCTGGAAGGGATCTTGGAGGTCTTCTAGTCCAGCCCCCCCCCCCAGCTCAAGCAGGAGAACCTATACCGTCTCAGACAGGTGACTGTCTAGCCTCGTATTAAAAACCTCCAGTGATGGAGCGCCCATGATTTCTGGTGGCAAGCTGTTCCACTGGTTAATTGTCCTCACTGTCAGGAAGCTTCTCCTTAATTCTAGGTTGCTTCTCTCCTTGATTAGTTTCCAACCATTGTTTCTTGTCCTGCCCTCTGGTGCTTTGGTGACAAAGCAGAAATCTCAAATCTCTAGTGCAGACTGGAAAATGTTAAAAAGAGACTCTCTATGGAGCCTCCTGCTTGAGCAAGGGGTTGGACTAGAAGACCTCCAAGGCCCCTTACAATTCTGTTATTCTGTTTATTGTTAAAACTCTTAAGAGCAGTACGGCTCAGTTATGGGTTTGGGATTTCATTGCTAATAACGGAGATAAGCAGGGGCTTTGGAGTCGGTTTCTCAGAGATGCTTTAGAGCAGACACCTGTTTTTAGCTCTTTAAAGCAGCCTTGTCTTTTTTGTGAAATCACAGCTTGCTGCAATAGGCAGCCACTCCACCTCAGGGGGGAAAGATGCACCTAGCCTCTTTCAAGCGGCTTTAAAGAGCTTGCAGATTCTGTAGGAACTGGCTGTGTTTATGTCGTTTTATTATGTTAGTGTAAATCGCCCAGAGTCACTTCAATGAAATTTAACAAGTAAACAAGACCATGGATGCTTTTACGTATCCACAAGGAGACCCGACGGAAATTCTCTCTCCAAAATCTTTTTAAAAATACAACATGGGGTGTCTTTATTTTTGGCAGAGATGCTCCAAGGCGCCCGGAGTACAGCCTACTCTCTCCCAGTTCAACCCTTAGGAGGAGGAATTCCTTATCTCACCTTCCTAACCCTAGAAAGGAGGATTTTAATTCCGATCAGCCTTTGGCTAGTAGTAAGAGATGGAGTGACTCGCAGCCGGATCTGCAGGCAAACTTTTTGGAAGAGACGCAAAGGAAGGGGAAACTCCGAGAATCTGGCTACTTGCTTGCAGGACAGCCCAAAGAATTTGGAGGACGGAACCTTGAGTTGGAAGTTGACATGATGGAATTTGAACTCGGTTCCCTTAGACAGAAGGTAATGTAGGATCTCTCTCCAATCTGCCGACTGTACAAATAGTCCTCGACTTACAACGGTTCACTTAGTGACCGTTCAGAGTTACAGCGGCGCTGAAAAATATGACTTATGACCATTTTTCACACTTACGACCGTTGCAGCATCCCCCACGGTCATGTAGTCAAAATTCAGACGCTGGGCAACTGACTTGTATTTATGACAGTTGCCGTGTCCCCCGGGGTCATGTTCTCAGCTTTTTTTTTTGAACTTCTGACAAGCCAAGTCAGTGGGGGAAGGCGGACTCACTTAACAACCGTGTTACCAACTTAACAGCTGCAGCGTTTCACTTAACAGCAGGAAAGGTCGTAAAAACGGGGCCAATGATCTTCTCCGTGAAAGAGTTTCTAAGGCAAATTCTCTTCCGCCGAGCCGAATTGTTAAGGGAGAAAATACAGATGATTTTTCCCCTGTCAGGCCCTGGTGGATGAATGAATGGTGAATGAAATTTCCTGTGAAATTTCCCCTGACTCCTTGTCTTTCCTGCAGCAGATGGAGAGCTCCTTTGTCTACCTAGAAAAGGAAAGAAAGTGGCTGGAAGCGATTCGTTCGGAAGGCAGGAAGCGACAAGGGGAACTGGATGATAAGTGAGTAGGTCCCTTCTTTGAGAACGGGCGGGTGTTGTACATCAGAAATAAAGGAAGAAGGTGTTGAAACTGTCTGAATGCTGCACGTTGCCGTTCTTCAAAAGAAGCCAACTCTGTCTGCTCCTGAAACGGGGCAACATTTCATAACCCTGTGGCTATTTTGTGGCTTCTAGACAACCAAGATGTTCCTATTAACAATTCCTAGAACAGTGATGGCGAACCTTTTAGAGACCGAGTGCCCCAACTGCAACCCAAAACTCACTTATTTATCGCCGGGTGCCAGGTGGGCGTGGCCCGCTGGGTGGGCGTGGCTGTGGTGGTCATGGCAGACTGGGTGGGTGTGGCCAAGGTGGGCATGGTCACCTTGATGTTGCTCGTGGGGAGGGACACTTGTGGGGGCCGGGCAGGGTTGGGGGAGATCCAGGGGGTCTCTGGCAGGTGGGGCAGTGGGCAGGAGGCTTGTTCTGCAGGGTGAGGCGAGACAAGGCGAGGCAGGGCGGGGGTGCCATTGTCACAGGGCAAGGTGAGGCAGGGGCCGGGGCAGCTGCCTGACACCATTGGTCCCCACACACAAAGGTCAGCGAGTGCATGGGGGCTGACAGTGTCCATCAGCAGCCACAGCCTGCCAGCCCCTCAACCGGCGCACTCTGGGGCTCCACAGTCTGCTGCCATCAGTTCAGAGAAGCTGCTTTTGAGATGGATGGTGGCCAACAGCTGAGGAGGCCATGCAGTGGGTGGTGCCGGGGGGAAAAGGAGAGCATGCAAGGCCAGGAGGGATGGGATGGGGGGGGAGGGAAACTAGCCATGGTGGGATGCATCTGGCCACGTGGGACCTTGGCGAGTTAGCAGATGGCTGGTTGAAGAGGGATGGTTGCCATCTCTGGGGCATGGCATGCGTGCCCACAGAGAGGGCTCGGAGTGCCACCTCTGGCACGCGTGCCATAGGTTCGCCACCACTGTCCTAGAATATTGCTGGAGATAGCGGAATCTGTCTTCTTGCTTGGGGTGTCTTTCAGGATCTTCAAGGTGGAAATGGAGCTGGCCAAGACGAAGTCTTACTTTGGTAAAAGGGATCACCCCTTGCTTTCCCAGGGTTTCAGACAGAGTGAAGAGGTGGTAAGGAAAACCTTCCAAATTTAACACCTGGCTTTGAAGCGGCCCCAGGCTTAGGTTTATTTTGCAATTCTGCAACGAGGCAGAATTCTGCAAGAGTGCAAAGGAGATGTGGGCTAGGAGAATGGAATGGAATGTCCTGACCATCCCTGTGCTTTTTGAATCGTTCATGCCTTCAAAAGAGAAGTTTGCAGTATAAATACGTGGTCTAGAACATTCCAGCTGGGTCTTTACAGGTGTGTTGGGCCATATCCCATCCTATCTTGCTAGTGTGGAGGTTAGCCATGCTGCAAGAGCTGTGCTACCTGAGGAACTATGGGAATTGTGGTGCAACACATTAGGGCAGGGGTCTTCAAACTTGGCCCTTTTATGACTTGTGGACTTCAACTCCCAGAATTCCTCAGCCAGGAGTTGAAGTCCACAAGTCATAAAAGAGCCAAGTTTGAAGACCCCTGCATTAGGGAGATCTTTGAGTGAGATGTTGTGATGTCTTGTAAGCTCCAGGGGTGTCGCTGAAGTAGCTTTGCAAGGCTTGGGAGACAAACTGTCAATTCATTATTTGTGCCCATCACCTTTATGTAAAATAAACCACTGCTTTTGCATTGCCCCTTGTGCAAAATACACGAAAGGCCATCTAATTGTTAACAAGTCCCAGCCTTAGTTTTAGAGGTTTTGTCACCACAAATGTAATGTCCTCACCTCAAAGGACGAGAAACATTTACAACATGTAACCATCATTCGCTTAGTGACCGTTTGAAGTTACAGTGGCGCTGAAAAAAGTGACGTAGGGCTGGTGGTAGCATCCCCAGGATCGCGTGATCCAAGTTCTGATGCTTGGTAACTGGCATGGACTTAAGACTGTTGCACTGTCCCAAGGTCACATGATCGCCATTCGTGACCTTCCCAGCCAGCTGCCCACAGGCAAAACCAATGGGGGAAGACAGATTTGTATAACGACTGCATGATTCATTTAACGGCTGCAGTGATTCACTTAAGAGCTGTGGCAACAAGGTCATAACATGGAGCAAAACTGGTGTAACAATTGCCTTGCTTAGCAAAAGACCTTTTTGTGCTCAGCTGTGGTCGTAAGTCAGCTCTCTCCTGGTAGTATTATGTCTCTTCAGTTGAGAGGTTGTGTGATGTAATGGTTAGAGGGCTGACCTGGCGCGGGCAACTCTGGGTCCAAAGTTCCCTTGGCTTTATTGTCTACTAATGGTCCAGAGGAAACTGCTTGTTCCTGTCAACTTACAGTAGTGGCCAAAATTGTGGAAAATTTTTGGGAAAAGTGTACAGTAGAAATTCCACCTTGGGTTAAGTTTCCACCCATTTTTCTTCTAATTTCTTTATAACTGTAGCCTTGTTCACTTAATAATACTATTTTACATCGCTTTCTGGGCGACCAGTCAACTCTTTGCACCATTATTTTAATTTTATTACGTTTTACAAGCTCACTAAATGAAAGAAAAAAAAAACAACCTCCAACCAACTTGATAGCCATCACATAACACCCTGACAAATGTCCTCCTCTCAGCTTCAATACAGGACATCAATCACTGAATCCTACTGTGATCTTATTGGCTCATGGCCAAAACAAGATGACACCCGATTGGCTCTCTAAACACTCATGCTCATTGGCTACAATCGGATGAAGGAGAGCTACCTGAGATCAACCTGAGCAAGTCGTGCTTCCTTTTTCTGGTTATTTGGCTATACCTTTTCATAGAATACAGTACAGATCATTGAACAAACTATGTTGCATTATGTTCTTGATTAAATTATCTTTCCATTGATATATCATTTTATGGTACTACTCAAAAAAAAGTGGTGTTATTAGCCATCAAAGCTCAAAAATACGCTTTTCCCAAAAGGTTTCCACAATTTTGGCCACCACTGTAGCTTGCTAAGAAGATGAGGGTGACCGAGGAGGCAGCTGGATAAAATAGTCAGGAAGATGACCTGGGTTGCTTCGAAGTCTACAAAATAAGTGTGCAAACTGAAAAATAAAAATAAAAATGGAAATACTCTCTTCAGTCGCAGGAAAAGTGGGATGTCGGCCACGAGCTACAGAATCTTCAAAAAAGTCTGGCTGCTTTGAAGAGCTGCATCAAGACCCTGGAAGAAAAACGAAACGAGATGGTGCAGCAGCTGAAATTTGTTCAGGAGGTTAGTCTGAACCGGGCGGCCGAGTGTGGCCGCTTGATTACTGCAGTGGGCTCTGGAGTGGGCTGCCCTGGAAGACGTCAAGATGGGAAGGGTGGTGCTGCGGAAAAGAAATAAGCAATACACAAAGGGGGGATTCTTCTCAGTGGCAGGGGATTCCATTCCATCTGCCACTCGTTTCAAACAAAGACACGTTCAGTTCCATGGCCACGGAGTCTTTTGGGGGCGATGCCTGCGTTCAGGGCTCTCTAGCCCTCCTTCTCCAGTGTTTCTATCCCTCTCTCCAGACCTTGAGATTTATTTATTTATTTTTCAAATGTATGTGCCGCCCAATCCCTAGGGACTCAGGGCGGTGTACAAAATTAAAACAATAAATATAACAATAGAACAGTAAAATAAGTGCATTCATACAGCATGTCCCAATCGTATCCTGCCCCCCCCCCCGGGGACATCAGCCCCAGGCCTGCCGGAACAGGAGAGTTTTAATGGCTTTCCTCCATTCATTTCTTTCTCATCCCCCTTGTTTCAGTCAGCTTTCGACTTCACCATTATTAGAGGTGAAGGTCTGAGAGCTGGTTTTTTTTTTCCTACAATCTTTTTTATTAATTTTTTTTTCCCATCGACATACGTTAATTTTTCCAATCAAACAAGTTGTCTGGTGTTTGCTAAGCTAATAACATGTTCACTTCCTAATCCTTCATTCTTTTCTCTAACCAAGACTAAAATAAATTCCACATTTTACAACAGTCCGTATCTTCTTTGTCTTTCAGCCTCATAGTTAGTCTGTCCGTCGTGAGAGCTGTTTTTTAAGAACCCAAGAATATTTTTCTTCTTTTGGTTCTTCAGGGAGAGCAGAGCTCAGCCAGCCACCCAGTAGCCACAAATTTACTGGAAATGAAGCAAGAAAGACGCCAGCTCCGAGCTGCTTACAAGAACATCAAACTGGTGGGTTTAAAAAAAGATCCTTGGGTTCAGGCCACAAATTGTCCATAAAGTTTTGCTAGAAGCCGGGCCTTCTCCGTAGCAGGGCCAATCTTACTGACCATCTTCTCTGCAGCGGCTCCTCAATTTCAACCCTGTATATCTTGGTCTAAAAGTTTTGGCTCCTTTAGACGCTTTAATCCGGTTTCATCTTTTCCAGCTTTGCTATCTGGCACAATAGGTTTCATCTGCGAGGCCAAATCATTGTCCTGGTTTATATTCCACCTGCTTGTATTTTGAGGTTGATTGCAGTTCCCTTTCCGAAGGACGCTTTGTCTGTAGCTTACGAATGAAAATGAGATCTGAACAATCGCTCTTACGACAACTTCATTGCAGAAGAACGTTGCCTTGCTTCAGCAAGTCCAGGATCTCGGTCTGGAGTTAAAGCACGCCCAGAAAAAACAAGAAGAATTCCAGGACCAGATCTCAGCTCTCAAATCAGAGCTTGCAAGTAGTAAGAATCAGGCCCATCAACAGGAACGAGAGAAAGTCCTCATCAAGGAGGAGATGAAATCGGTCCGGCAGGTAAATCTCAGTTCTGGGAATGGACTGTGTCCCTGTTCTTTTTAGGGAGAGGACCCATCCAATAAAAATGCAAAAGCAGTGGAGCTTCTGGCACCTTCATGGACACATCCATGCAATCTCCTTGGCTGCAATGCAGAAGTGGTCCACCACTGTCTTTTCAGCATGTGATGTATCTTCTCAGTTTAGCTTGCAAACCTTTGAATTCCCTGTTAAGCCTCCTGTTGTGATAGAATGTGCACCTGGAGAATCGGAGGATAAGAGATTTGGTGATAACAGAGTTTTCCCCAGAAGAGGCCTGGATGAAGAGACTGTGCAGTCCTGAGCTGGATGGGATGGGGGTAGGGGGAAGAGGTTCAAGGGTAGACACATCCTGGAATATCTCAGGATATATCTAGTAGTACTGTAGAAGAGAATATTTCTGGCTCAGGGTTGAACTGTGGGGTCCTTGGTGGGGTTTTTGTAGACGTCTTATGACCCAGCTAGGTAACATTATCAGTGCTAGAAATGAGTGGAGTTTGGGGGGAGGAGGATCAGCAGCAGCCACTGCCGCATCCTGGAATCTCTAAAGATACATCTAGTAGTAACACAGAAGAGAATATCTGTGGCTCAGGGTTGAATTGTGGGGTCCTTGGTGCTTCCTAAGCTTGGTTGTTTTCTTGCAGACGTTTCATGACCCAACTAGGTAACATCATCAGTGCTAGAAGGGAGGGGGGTTTGCGGAGTGGAGGAGGGGGGGGAGGAAGAGAAGAAAGAGGAAGAGAAGGAGGAGGACTGTGGCCTCCTTGGTACTCTCTGAGCTGGGTGGTTTTCTTGCAGACGTTTCATGACCCAACTAGGTAACATCATCAGTGCTAGAAGGGAGTGGGGTTTGCATGGAGGAGGAGGAGGAGGAGGAGGAGGAGGAGGAGGAGGAGGAGGAGGACTGTGGGCTCCTTGGTACTCTCTGAGCTGGGTGGTTTTCTTGCAGATGTTTTATGACCCAACTAGGTAACATCATCAGTGCTAGAAGGGAGGGGGGTTTGTGATCATAGGTCGAGAATTACCTAGAATTTTGCCCAGTTGAACCCAACTCATGTGAACTGGATGAACTGATCTGAAAAACTGAAAGGGTTCAATTTCCCGATCCCTCTCGCAGTCGAACGAAGAGCTTTCTTCCAAAGCAGCTGAGAGCCACCAAAGGCTGGGAGCTCTTTTAGAAAAACTGCATCTTCTGGAGGAGGAGGAGAGGTCCCAGGCTAACCATATCCAGGCTCTGGTGGATGAGCGGACTCAGTGGCTGGAAGAAAAGGAGCAACACCTTCTCGAAAGAACGGCGGAGCAGCAGTGCCAGGAGGAGACCAGGAAGGCTCTGCAGGCAACCTGTGAAAACCTCAGGTAAGAAGCAAGCAGACGTTCTTCCCATAATCAAGTGCTTCAGGAGGACGTCAAGCTGTTGCTGTAGCAAAATCTGTGTGCTTTTTGCCTATGCATAAAGTGTGTAATCATGGACAGCCCATTCATCATGAGTCCAGCTTCTGTGGCAAGGAAGTTGTTGTTCTTAGTTGCGAAGTCGTGTCCAACCCATCGCGACCCCATGGACAACGTTCCTCCAGGCCTTCCTGTCCTCTACCATCTTCTGGAGTCCACTGAAGCTCACACCTCCTGCTTCAGTGACTCCATCCAGCCACCTCCTTCTCTGTTGTCCCCTTCTTCTATTGCCCTCCATTTTTCCCAGCATTAGGCCCTTCTCCAGTGAGTCCTTCCTTCTCATTAGGTGGCCAAAGTATTTGAGTTTCAACTGCAGGATCTGGCCTTCTAAAGAGCAGTCGGGGTTGATCTCCTCTAGGACTGACCGGTTTGAATGCCTTGCAGTCCAAGGGACTCACAGGAGTCTTCTCCAGCAACATAATTCAAAGGCCTCAATTCTTTTGCGCTAAACCTTTCTTGTGGGCCAACTTTCATAGCCATACATTGCAACTGGGAAAACCATAGTCTTGACGATAGGTACTTTTGTATGGCCAGGAAGTGGTACAGTCCAAATCCTAAATTTGCAACTTCACTTCTTGAGCATATCCACTCCATTGGAGTCTCGAGGTGGCTTAGAATCAAGAGAATAAGGTCACCTAATGGCTAAAGGGGTTGGGCTGAAGAGGACCTCCCCTGACGCTCCTCAAAGGCAACTCCATGGGTGCAAAACCCAGTTCCCCAATTCCTTTCCAGATGGCTTTGAAGAGTCCTCAGAATTTTCATAAACCTACCTTGTTTTCCTTAGGGAATCTCAGATCCAGTTGCAGAAGGAGAAGGATCTCCTACAGGCTCACTGCCAGGACCTTGAAAGGCAAGCCGAAGAGTTGGGCAAGCAGTTGGGTGAGCAAGAGTCAATCTCCCAAGACTGGAGAAACCGATGGGAAGAAGTAGGTGCAGCTTTGAAGACCAAGGAAGAAGAGCTGGAGAAAAGGATTGCCCAGGACCAGGATCACCAAGCCAAGGCACGGGTGAAAGTTTCTTGATAGCTTTCCTCTCCTTGTCTCTTGGCCTTTCAACCGTCCTAGTCCTTTGGGTCTTTCAGCCATCAGCTTGGCAGGACCAGTGGGGTCCTGGATGCTCGCTGAGCTTGGTTGATTTCTTGCAAACGTTTTAATAATACCAAACAAAGTAGCATCGTCACCCTCAACCACGCTTGATGGAGGCCTGCTCAGAAGGGGACAAACTAGAAGGGCGGAAAGAACAAAATGCAAGAAAAATTGAACCGTGATTTTATCTACAGGACTAGTACTGGATTCCTTGCAGTCACTGAGATTCTTCTAGTTGTGGCTTTCTAACCTTTTTCAGGAAATATTCTAATCCAGGCGTCTTCAAACTTGGCCCTTTCCTTTGATGACTTGTGGACTTCAACTCCCAGAATTCCTCAGCCAGACACGCTGGCTGAGGAATTCTGGGAGTCGAAGTCCACAAGTCATCAAAGGGCCAAGTTTGAAGACCCCTGTTCTAATCCTTGGATTTTCTCTGGAGCTTATTTTAGCGGTTCCAATCTTGCATGGGGGGGAGGTAAAGAACAACATCAGCATCAGTAATGCTGCTTTAGCAAATCTACACCCCTCCCCTTTGATTATAACTGGTTCTGCCTTCTCACATTCTAGATGTTCCCAAAAGAAGCAGACCTGGATCTTCCTGTGGTCCAAGAGGAGCTGCAGAAGGCTTTGGAGATGCTGAAGATACGTGAGATGATGCACGAGGAGCAGCGTCTGGAGTTGGAATCTGCCAGGATCCAGGTATAGTATTGGCTGTGAACGTTTTCCCTATGGAAGAGAAACTAGTCAGAATGGAGCTGGAAGGGACCTTGAAGGTCTTCTAGTCCAGCCCCCGGCTCAAACAGGAGATTCTATTCCATCTCAGAAAGTGGCTCTCCAGCCTCTTCTTAAAAACCGACAGTGATGAAGCACCCGTGACTTCTGGTGGCAAGCTGTTCCACTGGTGGATTGTTCTCACCATTAGGAGTTTTCTCCTTCATTTCCAAACAAGCTTCTTCTATAGGTAGCTTCAGAAAGATGCAGAACTTCTAAACAGGGTTCCTAGGTTTCCTTAAACCAAACTTTGTAGCTATGGTTTCTTGAATAAGTTGCCATTCGTTAGGTTCACACTGTTAATCAGGGCTCGTCATAATGAAGAATTGCACAGAACTCAAACTGCATTATGTGAAGCCTACAGATATATCTGCGTCCGGTACTAGTAACTTTGCAATAGGTACCTTTAGGCAATCATCAAGCCCCAGAAATCCAGGTAGGGTCCTGCTTTGACCCTGTCCGAGGTCGGTCTTATCTGATGGGTCCTGGGCTCTCTCTGAGCTTGGTGGTTTTCTTGCAGATGCTTCATTACCCAAACTAGGTAACACCGTCAGTGCTAGAAGAGAGTAAAGTGGGAGTTTGGGTAAGGAAACATCTGCAAGAAAAACCACCAAGCTCAGAAAGCACCAAGGACTTTTCATTTCAACCCTGAACTACAACTATTCTTTTATTGGTCTGTCTTTCCTGGAACTTGGCACAGCTGGAATCCTATTGAAGTCTCGGTGATGCCCTGGAGCAGTGGTTCTTAACCTGGGCGATATTGCCCCCCCCAGGGGGCGATTTCATTTTTCAGGGGGGCGATGGAGTGAGAAGTTTTGGGGACACTTTTGAGACTTTTTCGTACAGTGAACAGCTGCACATCTGTCATACAAAAACATCAGATTGCTCGCTATTAGTGGATTGAATTGTGTTTTCAAATGTTCCTCCAGCTAGCTTCAGTACAGAACGCCCTACATATGTGAACACGCATCGCTTATCTTCATGCGCATTGCGCAGCAGCCTCTACCCTTTTTATAATTTCTTTTTGCATCTTAAATTTCACTTGTAATTCAATCATTAAATGTTACTCTTTTTCTTTTCGGGCATTTCACTATCTTGCAATTGAATTTTGTTTTCAGTGATCAGTACATTTAAGTGTCTTGAATAAATAAGATAATAATGAAATACATGCATCACGGAGTTTGGGAATAAAGTGATGGGTGGCACCAAAATTTTTCAAACCGTTGAGATATGGGAAAAAAGACTGGAAATAAATTATTTGCATCGATATGTCCTGATGACAATTTTAAAGAAAACAAAAAAAGGGTTTGCATAAATTGAAGAATTATTTCCTATGTTGTGATTGAGAGGTGATGTTGGGAGAGGGGGGCGATGACAACTTCCTCATTGGCTCAAGGGGGCGATTCGTTCAAAAAAGGTTAAGAACCACTGCCTTGGAGAACCTTTGTGGCATCTCTCAGGGCGGGCATGCCTCTTGACTGCTGACCTGCATTCTCGTTTCTTGGTAGAACGCAGAATGGACTTTGGAGAAGCAGAAGCTGCAGCAACTTCTCCGTGCATTGGAGGAACAACTTGCAGAAAAGTAAGGAAAACAAAGCAGAAAGACAGGGACCCCAAGGTGTAAAGGACTACTAGATGTCCACAGGAAGTGACCTGTTGCACGTTCTCCAGGAAACGAAGAGGCCGTTGACAGATAATCCTCTCGCGTCATGATAAATTCCACCAAACAATAACAACAATACTGCAATACTAGCGTTTCTGGAGGAAGAAAAAAATTCACAAAAACGTCAAGTTCCCATGACTGGCAATGCCCTTTTTCAGACCTATAGGGAATGTTATTTAATTTTATTTCCTATCTCCTCCTCTGCTAGCTGTTGCGTCTTCACTTTGACTTGTTTTTTTATGTCACTTTGTGCCCAAAGCCTAAATATTGGGCATGGTTTCCAGGAGGTTTAGTTCAAAGAATTCTTCTCTGCAGGGACCAAGCCTTGAGAGACCTCAGGCAGACCAACGCTGTGGACAGAGCTGCCTTGGAGATGAGAACTTCATCAGAGCCGAAGAGAACAAGAGAAGGTCCGGGAACCTGTTACGAAAAGGTGGGTCCTGGTCAAGAAGACATGTCAGTTGGATCTGGCACACCTTGAATATGTTTTGAGCTACATGTAGAAGGTGCCTCCCATGTTCCATCCCAGTTGCTATGAGACAAGTGAGCTTGGAGACATCCAATATGCCATGGGGAAGAAACAGGTCAAGATGGTCCCTTCTTGACCCAATGAAATTTTTGAATTAGGATTGATTTTTGAACATGAGGGAAGGTCCTAGGTAGTTCTTCCTTTTAAACATAAACTTGGGAGCCTGTAAAATTGGTGAAGAATGGAGAGCAATTAGTCACACTACATCAGGGCTTTTCAACCAGTGGTACGGGTACCACCTGTGGTACATTGGCACCTGGCAGGTGGTACATGACCATCCTAGAAAAGTGGTAGCGGGGGAGGGGAATGAGCTGAACCAGTGGCAGCACCGCACAAGCCTGAGCGAGAGATGGCTGCAGCTGCAGGGCTGTCAAGGGTCAGCGGAAGCACCAGGATCAGCCCCAAGCTCCAGCTGATCGGCGCTTTTTCGGGGCTGTCTGGGCTCAGTGGAAGCACCAGGATCAGCGCCAGGCTCCAGCTGGAGCTCAGCGCTGATCCTGGTGCTTCTGCTGAGCCCAGAAGAGGTGCTGATCAGCTGGAATGTTGTAGCATCTCCAGGGTCTTGTGATTTGCATTCAGATGATTGGCAACTGATTCATAGTTATGACGGTCACAGTGTCCCAGGGTCATGTGAAGTGACCAAAACCTGCTGCAATCACCCAGCAGACGGGGGGAATTAAAACCAAACACCCCCCCACCCCACCCCCACTGCCAATCCTCAACAGAAATGCTCACAACAATGGAAACCTCGGACAGGAGGAAGAGTACCGCCGGGCGGGCAGGCAGGCGTCTTGCTCGGCTGTGGCTTGGGGGGCACTTTTTTCAATGCCATTGTAACTTCAAACAGTCACTAAGCGAACTGTTGTAAGTCGAGGACTACCTGTACTTCATCACTTTTTTCCTTTTGGGGGGTGTCATCAAGTTTGTGACACCTGGCTAGGCAACTGGTGGTACTCGGATGTTGCCATATCTTAAAAGTGGTACAATGGGTGAAAAGGTTGAAAAGCCCTGCACTACATAACCTTGCAGACTTTAGCCAGGAGAATATGGAAGTAAGTATTGGAAAGATGCCCTTGGAAGGTCACCACAATTCCTAATCTGCAGTCGTTCACACAAGCTTTGAGATGTGTGGGTTAATTTCCCATGTCATAAAAGAGAAGCATTCCTATTTGTGGTATAATCAGGACGTTGTTTTTTTTTTTTCTGATCCAGAGCTCTGTTTTTTCCCTTCTAGGGGCGTCCTGTTGGCTTGGATGCAAAGACTGTTGGGAATCAGCTGGAAGGTTTCAGGCTACAGCATCATTTAGTGACTGAGCAGGTGAGATGTCACTCATGGCATTTATTCATCTTCCCATCTTTCTCCCTCTGCCGTCTTTTTGAGGGCAAAGAGAGGACCGCTGCAGAAATGGGATTGTCCAAGCTTTTGATGGACTGATCACCACGTCCAGTAAGGATGGACTAGTATTCCTGCAGACATTTTGAAACAGCAGTCTTTTTCCTTCCCTATCTTCTATCACTTACACCAGAAGGACATCTGATGTGCTCCAGATGTGTAAAATTGCAACACTGCCATGCTCACTGGCAGTGACGGGAGTTGTAGACCAACACTGGCACACATAAGGTGAAGAAAGTTGAGAGAGCTTGGAGTTGTCCTTTAAGTTAGGTTTTCTGCTGGGGAATTGGAGATCCAGAAGATGATTGAGAGCGTAGAAGACCTAGACCAGGGGTCTTCAAACTTGGCCCTTTTATGACTTGGAATTCTGGGAGTTGAAGTCCACAAGTCATAAAAGGGCCAAGTTTGAAGACCCCTGACCTAGACAATCTGGTGAGGATTGAATATGTTCAGTGGGTATGGGGGTGGTGGCTGATCTTTGGGAGAGGTTCTGAGTAGGGTTTCCTTTAATGAGTGACAGACAGAAGCTCTCTTCCATTGCTGCACATTCCAAACACTTCTTCTGAACTGAATCTGAAGCATCACACACACAATGTGAGCCACACTGACTGCAATCTTTAATTGCCGATCCCACTTTCTCTAGATTTAGTTATTATGACATTAATAGCTTCTCGAAGCCCTCAAGTCTGGGTACAATTGTTATTAACCAGAATATTATTTCTGTATGTTTCTGTTCTCCAAAAGCTGAAGGAACTGTTCAGACAGAAGCAACAGCAGCAAGCAGGAGCCAGGAAGCATCAGGATGGGGGACTCAAGGAAAAGAGCTCAACAGCATCTCGGAATGTTCCGCGAGGGCTGGTGAGACTCCATCTTTCCATCCTCTTGGTGGGCCGAGTCACCAGCTGCGTGGATACCAATCTTGTTTTGGGGAGCTTGTAGGTCCATTCGGCGTAGTGGTGACTGAACAGTCCTAGAATGGGTTCTAGGTTCTTCAATTCTAGGTGGGAGGATATCAGATTTTGGAGCATACCCACAAATGTTCCCATGGTGGGAATTAGGGTGCTTGACCAAGTCATCCTTTAGTTTGATCCAGCAGTTTAGCTTTTCTCATGAAATGTGATTTTGAGGGCGGACTCTTAGCCTTGAAGATATAGAACCATCAACAAGGCCCAGAATGACTTCTAGTTTGCTTCTCCCAAAGACCACTGCACAGGTGTCCCTCGGACTTTCATCAGAAGAAGAGAGCCATTTGGAATCTGGAGACACGTCCAAAAGGGAGGAAGTAGAACAGAGCCTTCAGCAGCAGCTGAAAGCAAAAACTGATGTGGTAAGCACATCGTCAAGGTTCCGACTAATGGGCCCAAACAGATCAGAACTCGGAGGCTTAAAGCTTCCTCAAAGAACATGTTTATTGGGTACATAATATTGGCACGGTCAAAAGTGAAACCAACTCTAAAGTCCCCCCCCCAGGAATTCAATGTAACTAAGTGTAACACATACCTCCCGCTACCCAATGAGGGCAATTGGCGGGCTCTGTGACACTTCTTCTCCCTATCTTCCAGCACTTGTGGAAATGACCTTGGTTCCCACGGGACCGCTCCGCGCTTAGTCTAGCAGTCCTTTTGCTTTCTTCCCCCCAAACCTGTATGGCAATTGAGAACGACAAAGACGGTTTCAGCCAGGTTCGTTTCAGAAGTTGACACACAACTCATTTGCAGCTCCATCCTCAAAAGCAACCGTTGAGAAAGAAGGTTGTCTCGTCAATCACACCTCAGTGGATGGCAGATGCTACTGAAGATAACTTGAACCATGTGTGGGATAGCTATAAAGCAAGGAGAAAGAGGGACGGGGATTGATTTCAGCCTGCAGAAGCTGACTCAGGAGCAAGGCAGCCCTTTCTTCTTACTGGCTATCCTTCTTTTTGTTCATCTCTTTTCTTGACTTAATAATAATAATAAAGTTGGAAGGGACCTTGGAGGTCATCTAGTCCAACCCCCTGCTCAGGCAGGAAACCCTATACCATTTCAGACAAATGGCTGTCCAATCTCTTCTTAAAAATTTCCAGTGTTGCAGCATTCACTGCTTCTGGAGGCAGGTTGTTCCACTGGTAAATTGTCCTCACTATCAGAAAGTTTCTCCTTAGTTCTAGGTTGCTTCTCTCCTTGATTAGTTTCCACCCGTTGCTTCTTCTCCTGCCTTCAGGCGCTTTGGAGAATAGCTTGACTCTCTCTTCTTTGTGGCAACCCCTGGAATATCGGAAGGCTGCTATCATATCCCCCCTCATCCTTCTCTTCATTAAACTTGGGGTTCTTCAAATGGGTTTGGACTGCAACTCCCCCCCCCAATTCCCAGCTAGTGAAAAGTAAACTGAACATCACACTTGCAGTTGAATTCCACCCAATTTAAATGACGATCGAGTAAAACAAATATACGGAGGGTTGCCTTTTTGTACGATGTTAGTTTTATTTTCTTTTTCCTCGGTGAAGTTTTCCCTCTTGACCCGTTGCAAACAATCAACGACGGATTTGAGCTTTGGGGAAAGTTTTATTTGGAGAAAAAAAAAAGAGGCAGGATCAAAATAATTTGAATAAGATCCAAAAGCGAAGCATAGCTCTCCTCATCCTCTAACTGCAGGCTCTCAAAAGCTTCTTCGCTCCCCCTTTGCAACGCGCTGTTAATTTGTTTTCTCACTTCCAGATTTCTGCCATGGCCTGTGAAATTCAAGCTTTGAAAGAGAAAAATGAGAACTTAATGCAAGGTGAGCAGCTTTCGGCTCTTGTTTCAGCCAGGTCCCAGCTAAAAGAGGTTAACACGCTTTCTAACTTTTGTTTTAAGATTCAAATACACACACACAGAGACACACACACACACAAGCACTACTGTTTGGAGAAACCTTCAGCCGCTGAAAGTTCAACTCTCTTTATCATCCAATGTTTTATTGAAAACTCTTTTTTTTAATTTTCATCTCGGCTGCTTCCTCTGAGGACTTTTGGTGTAAGAGCTGCGAGATGCACAGAGAGGTCCTCGACGTACGACCACAATTGAGCCCAGCATTTCTGTTGCTAAGTGAAACATAAGTGAATTTTGCCCTGTTTTATGACTTTTCTTGCACCGTTGTTAAGTGAATCACGGCAGTTGTTAAGTCAGGAACACGGTTGTTCAGTGAATCCGGCTCCCCCCCCCGCCATTGACTTTGCTTGTCCGAAGGTGCCAAAAGGGGGTCATTACCCCGGGACGCTGCAACTGTCATCAATACGAGTCAGTTGCCAAGCATCCGAATTCTGATCACGTGACCCTGGGGATACCGCCATGGTTGTGTGAAACATAGTCCGAGGTCACCTTTTTCAGTGCCGTTGTAACTTGGGTCACTAAACAAACTGCGGTTAAGTCGAGGACTACCTGGAGTGAGCAGAGGCTTGTTAAAAACCAAGCTTGGCCAAATATTATTTCAAAGAAGAAAGAGGGGGGGGGGAAATGTAAAGAATAGAAGAGTACTGTTACAAACGGCTGTTCACAAAAAAAGGATATGTTACGTGTGTATGTGTGTAATGTTTGTTGTGTTTTGTTGGTCTAAAATAATAAATAAATAAATAAATAAATAAACGAAGCTTGGCTTTCCTCCCAACAGCAAAACTGAGATTCCAGGAACAGATTCAGCAGATCCGCCAGCTTTCGAAGCGACCGCCCGAAAAGAGTCAGAGGGAGCTGCGGATCCCCAGACTCTCCACCAGCCCCCGAGATGATGTGCAAAGTGCTCCTTGCCACGAGACTCTGGAGGTTTCCTCACAGGAGGACCAAACTCCATCCTCTTCCCAACGGGCAGAGATACAGGAACCGTTCCAGGCCTGCCCTGGGGATGAGCCAAGGGGCACCTCTTTGAACATCAGGAGGGTGCAAACGGGCTCCTCGCTTCTCCCTTCTGAGGCGTCTCATCCACCGCCCAGCCTCTTCTCCGACACGTCTTCGGCATCTGACAAGCTTTTATCAGCTCCCGTGGCTTCTCCAAAAGGCCCCCTCAAGCATGTTGAGGATGAAGGAGCGTCACTCAGCCCCCGCAGCTCAGGGCTTTTGTCCCCCAAGCCTTTTGGGGCCCCGAGACCGTGGTCCCCTTTCCGAGAGAGGGCTGAATCGCCGGTGAACAGAAAAGATCTGTAGCCACCAAGGTTGGTTCCTGGGGCAGAAGAAACATCCACCAAGGGATCTGACCTCGAGAAGGAAAGCTGAAGTTTCTCCTAATGTGGTTCTCCTCTTTCTAAAATATATTGTGCTATTAAAACAAAAACAAAAAACTGGGCATTTGGATCCCCAAAAGTTCATGTATCCAAATTTACAGCCTAAATGTTGGAGATGTGGAAATCTAGATGCAACCTATTTTCACATTTGGTGGACTTGTAAAGATATGAAAGCTTTTTGGATTAAGATTTGGTGGAATATTCAAAAGATTTTTAAGAAAAAGATTTAAGTTTACTCCGCAATTATTTTTGTTGGCTATTACTGTAGATTTTGATGTTAAAGAAACTAATTTGATGTTGAACCTTCTAACAGCTGCAAGATTATTGGTGGAGCAATATTGGAAGAAAAATTTGTTGCCTACTTTGGAAGAATGGATACTTAAAAGTGTCTAATTTAGCAGATACGGCGAAGATCTCCGCCTATTTGAAGGACCATTCACAAGAAAGATATATTATGGTTTGGAGAAGATGGATTGATTATATTCAGAAGAAATATGAAGTTGAAAAGTATTATCTTGCTTTTGAGTAGATTTTAGATAATTATTAATAGTTTTAATTATATTATTATTTTTGACTTAATTTGTTAATATTTGTATTGAGAAGGAGTTAAAGTGTCTTATGGTTTTGATTGATAGTATAGTTGGTTTATGTTAGTTGGATTATGTTTGTTTACTATTTTGTTTTACCCTGTAATCAGCTCTGGGAAGTGGGGGAGGGGGGGAAAGGGTGGGGGGGTTTATATTGTAATAAATTTATAAAACTTTTAATAAAAAAAACTGGACTGGGTTTAATCTTTGCCTAGTTATGGAAGATCTGCAAGGTGATGATGAGCATATTACCTTCTCAGGGCTTCTTCTACTCTACCTTCATAAGACTGCTTGAAGCTAATACTCTTGTGGAGGGAGCGATTAGATCTTTGGCAGAAAGGGATGCGAAAACAAGAAACAAGCATAAACGTGAGGAGGGCAAGAAGTTGACTTACTTTTCGGAGCTCAGCTGGGGTCTCTGATTAGAGTCTGGCTCCCGCAGCCTTGAATTTTTCTCTCCAGTTGAAATTCTCTTGGGTTTGGAGAAGATTGGTCCTGGTGATCTCAATATCTCCAGGGCTTCTTCTCACCAGCCAAGGTGCTCGAGATACACAGCCACCTGCTGTTTATGTTCCTGGGTGTAACTCAATCCCCAACATCCCCTCCCTCCCCTGCCGACTCCAACAAAGCAGGATGGAGATTTCCTGGCAGGTTCACAATGGAGATTTGAAAAAAAGGAAGAGAATTCTGTAGCCCTGCTAATGAATCAGCCGCTCCTCTAAACTGCTTCCTCAAAACTCAAGTTTTGAGGAGGGGCCTCCAGTAGCTTTTGAGCTGGGCCAGGATCAAGCCAAAGATGCAGAGAGCCAATGATCCAGTTTGTATGAATTGACTCTTATCCATGAAAGTAACCAGGGATTGAGTGCCAGATTAGATGAGAATCGAAATAGCCCTTGGAATGGTTGTTTTACCAAAGGGCAGGGGGGAATTTCCCCTCCTCAAAAAGACAGGATGGCAGCATGGGCTAAGCCAGCGGTTCTCAACCTGTGGGTCGGGACTCCATTTGGGGTCGAACGACCATTTCACGGGGGTCGCCAAACAACGCAGTCCGCCATTTTTTCCCCCTTTTCCTTAGCTGTGCTTCTCCCTTTTATTCTATTGGCTTTTGAAAGCCAATAGAATAGACTCTCTTGAATAGAGTCTAATTCTATTGGCTTTCAAAAGCCAATAGCAATTGTCCAGCCTGTCTCTGCCCTGCTGAGCCCGCCAAAAGTCCCATTCTGCAAACGGTGCTGCACCAGTTGAGTAGTCCTCGACTTACGACCGGTTGGGGGGGTCGCGGCATTAAAAAGGTTGAGAACCACTGGGCTAAGCCATGGTTAACTGAGGCTACTGATTTTATCTTTGCTGCCCATCAACTAACCCCACTTGCCGGCTTCACACCGCACACAAACACACAGAACCATGAATTGGCCCCCAATTAAGGCCGGCCTATTATGCAAAGCTCACAAACGGATGGAACCCCAGCAAGCTGAGCAATGGATTAAAACGCTTTAAAAGGGTAAAGGAGAAACAATCACTAAAAAGAGTGCTAAAGGGATCATTAATGCCACTGCATTGCCAAGGGAGTCAAATCTGGAGGCCAAACGGGAACAGAGGGCTCACCCTGCCTGTAGCTCAGATCTGTTCGAATCCAGCTTCAATAATTCAGACCAACCCTTCAGCGCTATTTTATGTTTCACAGAAGGGCTTCGGCTGGTTTCTACGGTGCCACGAAAGCCTGGGTTGGTTTTAGTGAAACCAGCAATATTTGTGGCACTGTGGCATCGTTTAAAGAAAAGAGAGAGAGAAAAAAGCCATTTTATGCAATACTTGATCGTCAAGATTAATAAACAGAAATCTTAACATAATAAGATTTCGACGCCATCTTTTTTCCGGTGGATTCGAGTACCTAATTTGTACTCCAAAACAAGGAGGACGACAGCCACGCTCTGAAGAGGTAGAAGTTTATTGGAATATAAACATTCAGATAACTTGTTAAGATAGAAAACAAAAAAACAAACAAACCCAACGACAACATATACAGACACTTGCTGGAAGGAAAACATCTGAGGTATTTAGTTATTCACCATTCTAGGCTATCACATTTTTTTCTTGCTTTCTTTAAATAGTTAAGAACGAGCTAGTTGCGAGGCTGCTGTAGTTGACCTGATCTTAAGATTTTACGACCTTCCTTCCTTTTTTTCTAACCTCTTGGGAAGGAAAGGAAGCACAGCAGCCAAAAAGGGCTGTGTAGGGTTTTGTGTGCAGATCCTTGTGGGGTGTGTGTGTGTGTGTGTGTGGGGCACCTCCCTGCTCCTTCCGTTCTTGATGGATCACATCCATCCATTACCTAAAAGCGCTGGAGCCCATTTGCTGGACTAAGGGCAAAAGGTGGGGGGAGGCAGAGCAAGACCACTGAAACATCTGATGGAAACCCCCCCCCCGGGGGGGGGGTAGCCCTGCTTTATGGGCTGGGATTCCAGGATGAGATCCTCAGATTGCTCAAAAAGTTGAGACTTGGCTGGACCGAAATTCATTAGGCAGAAAACAGGTGTGGAGCAGCCCAGAGTCAAGGTGAACGCTTTAGGTATGGGCTGGATTGCCCTTGATTCCCACTTTGCCCACCCAAATTGACCCGACGGTGAGGAAGGGAGGAAGCCATCTCTGAAAATACGGATCTGTCTTTGGAGAACCTGCCCTTCCCACCATAGCTGAAAAGTCCTGAGTGCCATACAATCTTTTTAATATCCCGAGTTAGATAAGGTTAGAGTGAAGATCCCCCCCCCGCCTCCCCATTGAGACCTACTCTGCTGCTGGCTTATGGACCCCTCCCCAAAATCCAAACAGAAGAGAGGAACGCTACGCAGAAACGGAGGGGCTCCTGTCTTCACAGTCAAAAAAAGCGGCCGGCAGAGCAAAAACAAGACAGACACCCCCCCGCCCCCCCCAATTAACAGAGTCAACGTGTGATGCCGCAGCTTATCTGAATGAGGTATATATTTATATTTATATATTTATATATATATCGTTTACAAACCTGCTCAAATCTAGCGCCCCCGCCTGCCCACCCGCCCCCTAAAACTGGAGAAGAACAAACTCTTTTACTTCCCTGACTGGTTCCCGGTTAGCTGCGTCCGTCCGTGGCTAAAAGGAACGAAGGGCCCCCCCAGCCCTGGGAAAGCCACTCCAGTGAGCCAAAACAGCTTTCTGTGCAAGAAGTGCAATCTTAAGCATGGCTGGGACAGGCACAGTTGTTTTTAAAACTCGGGCCTGAGACCTCCTGAAGAGAAGACAGCAGTGGTGGGAGGTTAATTTTTCCAAGACAAAGGGGGGGGGGAATCACCTGGACTTGCAAACTTCCATCGCTTTTTACCTTTCCCCCCAAAATGGTTTTACTTCCAAAGCCAGGTTTTGATCTTCAAGGCTTCAGGTGGGGTAAAATGGCTGAAGAGGGGTCAGCGCGATTAAAAATAAATAGTAGTTTAAACACCCACAAGTGTTTGGCAAAAGTTATTCCCTTGTCCCTCTCTTTCTCTCTGCTCTTGCCAGCCCTGGTTTGAAACTGTCAGAATTATGGGATGTGCTTTCAAGATGACTCCTCCAGCAGACAGGGCCAGCATTTCCTTCAAACAACCGCCAAAGGGTTCAGTTTTACAAGCTGGGATGGTTTCCTAAGTAGTATAACAGATGTGACAATCTTAAATGGACACACACATAAGCACGCACGCACGCAAGTACACACACACACGTACAGAGAAACTTTAAACAATGCAGAGGATTCACGCAAGAATCCTACTGGGGAAAAAAAAAATCAGCTAAAAAGCCACAAGTCACTCGGAAAGCTTAGCAGATGCTGGACTGCTCAATTCTTTTTAGCCTCTCTGCCCACCTGCCTCAGTCGGAAGACTCCATTAACCATGAGGCTTTGCTGCTTACGCAGTCTTTAGCCAGAGGAAGATGGACAAGGGAAAGGGCCCCCAAGGAGCACAATCTTTGGGCTTCCTGCCTTCGCTTGGAATGGAAGCAGGGAGGGACTTTAAACATGGCCCCAGGCAGACACAACAATCTTTGGAGTTGAAGGCGTTCAGTGAGAAAGTTGACCGTGTTCTGAACGAAGGGCAAAGAAGGGGTCTACTGGTTGAAGATAAGCCCCACCAGCTAGACTTTATCTTGGCCACCAGGACCGAGAATGGCCACTGTGGGCTCTGGTTGACAGGGCAGGAGATAGTATGGCCTGTCCTTTTTGCAATCTGGGCCTCTTGCCTGTCAGGGGGCTGCAGAAGGGACGCAGGCGCTTTGGCATCTCCAGCACTTGAAATACGAAGGCCAAAGACCGATTAACGCTTATCTACGGATTCTTTTCAAGAACGTTTCTTTCTTGGTTGATGAAGACACGGGTGGGATGCTCACCACTCACCAGTAATATAGCCGGACTGGCAAGGGATGGGATGGGAAACAGATTGCAAGGCATCTGGCCCACATGGGGTAGATCTGGGCTGTCCAAATATCATTGTCTCCCATTTGCCCCACTGCTAGGGAGCAACCATAAAAAGTCCCACCAAATTTGTTCAGGAACATCTCGTTCTTCAAAAGGCTACGTGGCTAAAATGTTTGTCCACTTGGATGGAATGAAGTCTATTGGCCAGAGAGGAGGAAGAGGAGCAGATCCTTAAAAGACCGGTTTAAAATAGAAATTGAGGGATCCAGCCTCTTGTTATTGGCCATGTTGAGGTTCTTAGCAAGTTTTGGGAGATCCCAGATTCCTCTGCCTTGCCTAAAGAGACCAACTGGCAGCGGGTCTTTACTATTCTAAAATTGGTACAAAACAATATGGTAAGAACATGGGAAGCATCGAAACCAGCAGGAGCTGAAAGCTTTCACTGAACCCTTAGAAAGATCATAAAGAGGAGCTAATATTGATGACTTTTAGAATATCTCTTTGAAGTTGACCAAGAAGAGGCCAGCTTGCTAATGAAGCATTCCCTTTTCAAAGCAGCAACTTTAGACCCCCTAAAACAGTGTTTCTCAACCTTGACAATTTTAAGGCATGTGGACTTCAACTCCCAGAATTCCACAGCCAGCATTGCTGGCTGTGGAATTCTGGGAATTGAAGTCCACATGCCTTAAAATTGTCAAGGTTGAGAAACACTGCCCTAAAACATCCCACTTCTGCAAAGTGGGATGCATATACGTGGCACCAATTTTTTATTTCGTTTGGATTAAATTGCCAAGGGGCTGGAGGGCAACTTCAGGCCTTCTCCCTTCCCTTCCCCCAATCTGGTGCCCTCCAGATGTTTTGAGCCTGTAACTCCCAGAATTCTTTACATAGTTGCAATCCCAATACAATGAGAAGGTGCTAAGTTGGAGAAAGCAGATCACTGAAGTCCACACGGGACTTTTTTTCGGCCGAGTCCTTCCCGTTACAGTTAGGAAACGTGTGGATTTCTTTTCACAAAAACTGAGGAGAAGTGGAGCTAGCATCCTGACAACCATGATCTCTCTCCAGCAAAGCTCTATCCAGTGGACTCACTGCCTGATCTTCAAAGGTAATTCTCCGGAGCCATTTCTCCCCTGTGGGAGTTTGCCTCTGTGTGAATTTGTCCGGAAAGCAACGCCACGGAAAAAAGAGAAGAGATGAGTCGAACCAATTTCTTTGGATCGCAAAAAGAAAGCCACAATGATTCAATATCGTCACAGTCATCATATTCCAAGACTGCCTTCCGAGCTGGAAGTCCTGCCTTCCTTTTGAAATGCAAGGAGGCTATGAAGCCGAGTCTAAAAGCTGGAGGCGGGGGTGGCTGAGGGGATAATCCTGTAGCTCAAAAGCTCATTCCATTCATTCATTCATTCATTCATTCATTCTCCCCAGAGTGACCAAACTACTATGCACACAGGCTTTGGATTCCTAAAATGCCACCTTTTCCATTCACACACACACACACACAAAAATATCATAACGACACGCCAGGCTTGACCAAAAAGGTCAAAGTCATGGCTGCAGGAGTGACTTTGAAACCCCTGAGTTCATAAACCGACGTGACCCATTTGACTGCTCTTCAGATAGATAGATCGGGATTACAATTCCAAGAACTGGAACTTCTACAGCTCTTCTCAGTTAGGAATTCTGGAAGTCCCACACATGTAGAAAGCACAACGCTGTAGAATAGTGTTTCTCAACCATGGCAACTTTAAGAGGAGTGCAGTTCAACTCCCAGAATTCCCCAGCCAGCTCCCACTCCTCTTAAAGTTGCCATGGTTGAGAAATACTGCTGTAGAAGGGTGTAAGCTCTTTTCTGGGTTAAGGAAAGGGAAAAAAAAAAAGAATTAACCTGCCACCTGTGCTGGTTTCTCTCCACACCCGAGGCAGTTTGTGCCAAGCACTTCCCTGACTTATTGAAAATATCAAACCTTCATTCCTTCAAGCCAGGAAAAAGTTTTGTTCCTCTTTTTTTCTCTCTCTCTCTCTCTCTCTCCCTCTCTTTTTCTCTCTCTCTCGATTGGTGTCTCTTTGGTGCTACAATATATAAAATTCAAACTAAAAAGCAGTCGACGAGACATATAAAAAGAAGCTTTTAACATACGCAAATCCTTCCAGAAGAGGTGGAAAAACAAAACAAACAGGAAAAAAATAAAAATAAAAACAAAAACCCCAAACCCACCCAACCCAACAACACAGCAATAAGTACATTTTATTTTTTTTTGAGGTATTTCATCTGCTCGAGAGAAGCTGTCGCAGTTCTGTAGGATGACTGAGCTAGACCAGGATGGGACGTTTCCCTCTTAGGAAGGTGACCTGCTGCTGAGCTGAGCGGACAGCAGCTGTATTGACAAACAAGCAAGCAAGAAACCAAGACGATCTTAGTTGGATCTGAGGGAGGCATGAGAAAATTGGTGGTGGTGGTGGGGGGGGAAGCAAAAACAAAACCTAGTTTTCAGCACACTCTGGCTTCAGGAGAAGGTTACGGGCTGCAGAACTGGGATATGTCGGCAGGCAGGCTCAGAAAACAGCCCATCCTCTTTTTATTTGAGAAAACGCAGGCCGTCTTACACCGGATTCTGCAAGGGAAGGCTACACATCCACCTCTTTTGCTAAAAGCAAACCCCAGTGTTGACCCAAAGGCTACTTCTGCCTTTGCTGCTATTTTTCGGTCGGTGGGATTTGACTTCCCATTATTTCTTTGCCGACACCCAAAAACAGTCAGGGTGGAGCGAAGAAACACATCGGTCTTCGGAAGAGCCTCTGGCAGGGATGGGAGACCTTCGACTGCAGATAAGGACTGGAGGCAGTTCCACAAACAGCCCTTGGCTATTTACATCTGGGTTTGGTTTGATTTTCTTCTTCTTTTTTTTTTTTAAAAAGAAGCTAGCTATGATTTAATCGCTGCAAATGAAAGCCCGGAGCGAGGAGCTTGGGGTGCTGAAATCGTTCTTCCGGCAAACCGGAGGAATGGTAGGGAATCTGAGAGATGGAAGGATAAAAGGGGGGGGGGGAGCTAGGCTGCGCTAAGGACAATAAGAGGGTAGCGGAGGATTGTCAACACACAACGGCAGTCCAGTCGTATTTGGAAAGGGGGAGAAAGGGAGAAAGAAACGAGAGAGACAGAAAGGAAAAAAAAAAAAAGAGCAGGAGAGCGCCTCCTTTAGGCTTCCCAGGGGAAAAACAGACGACTTCTTGGGGCCTTTCATCCTAACCCCTGGCAAGGGTCAGTCATCCACAAAACTGCTTAGCCTGTCCAGAGAATCCCTGATTGAAACACGCCTCGTGTCCCCTTCCCCCCCCTCCCTCCCCACTCACCCCCCCCCACTGAGGACACAGCAAGACCTGAAAAAAAAAGGCTAAAAAGCCAGCGAGGTCCATCCGGATGGAAAACTCGCCAGCACAGACACGGCGGCTCTCCGCGGCTGGCCCGCCCGGGGGCAGAAGGGGCTGCTTGGGGGCCAGATCAACGGGGTGGGTGGGTAGGGGGTGGAGGTAACTTCTCCCGGGGACAGAAGAGCCGCTCGAGGCTGGACAGCGAGCCCACTGGGGCCCTCAGAGGGACCAGCTGGTGGAGGGCTCGGCGCTGGGGGTGCCTCTGGAGGAGGTGGGGCTGGGAGAGCTGCTGTTGGCCCCGCCGGTGCTCTGGGTGTTGGAGCCGGCAAGGAGGTGGACGACGGGCTTTTGGGCAAAGAGGACGCCTGTTGGAGGGGGAAGAGAGGAGGAGGAAGATTAGTTGACCGCTTCGAAGGAGAGCTCAGCCAGTGACTAAAGCAGGGGGTCTTCAAACTTGGCAACTTTAAGACTTGTGGACTTCATCTCCCAAAATTCCTCTGAATTCCAGGAGTTGAAGTCCACAAGTCATCAAAGGGCCAAGTTTAAAGACCCCTAGACCAGTGTTTCTCAACCTTGACCATTTTAAGGCATGTGGACTTCCTTCCTTCCTCACATTCCCATCTTCCTTCCTTCCTTCTTTCCATTCCCATCTTCCTTCCTTCCTTCCTTCCTTCCTTCCTTCCTTCCTTCCTTCCTTCCTTCCTTCCTTCCTTCCTTCCTTCCTTCCTTCCTTCCTAACTGCCAGGAGTTCGATCCTGACTGGCCCAAGATTGACTCAGCCTTCCATCCTTCCGAGGTCGATCAAATGAGGACCCAGATTGTTGGGGGCATATATGCTGACTCTGTAAACTGTTTAGAGAGGGCTGTAAAGCACTGTGAAACAGTATATAAGTCTAAGTGTTATTCCTTCCTTCTGCTTAGAATGCAGTATTACAGACTAACTTTGCCCACAGCCAAGCGTTCGATCCTGGACCGGCTCAAGGTTGACTCAGCCTTTCACTCTTCCGAGGTTGGTAAAATGAGGACCCAGATTGTTGGGGGCAATATGCTGACTCTGTAAACCGCTTAGAGAGGGCCATAAAGCACTGTGAAGCGGGATATAAGTCTAAGGGCTATTTTCTCAATCCTGGCAACTTTAAGACGTGTGGACTTCAACTCCCAGAGTTCCCCAGCCAGAAGTCCACACATCTTAAAGATGCCAAGGTTGAGAAAAACACGGGGATAGATGAACCATCAAAACTCTTTTCAATGCTCCCAACAAGATCTGAATGGTGGGAAGGAGAAACTGAATTTTCCAGAGGCAAAACCCTGTGCCTCTATGCCCAGAGGGATCCCTGGTCTGGAAGCTCCCCTTTGCAGGTCCCCATGTGCTGCGAAAAAGTGTGAGAGAAATCGCAACTATCAACCCCAAAGAAGTGGTTTGGGGATGCTTCTCTGCATAAACCCCTCCAATTTCCACCCCTGGGCTTACTTCCAAATGCCCTCACCTGCATAGATTGTGCCGTTGATTTCCACTGACATATTGATGCTGCCAAAGCCAGAAGGAGTCCAGTTTAAAGCTGCTGCTGCTGCTGCTGAATCTGATTTATCTTCTAGAGAGGGAGAGAAAGAGAGAGAATGGGAGACAAAAAAAAAAAAAGCAGAAAAACTAAGGAGGGCTGATTGAGGCTTGCAACTTATAGAACAGCTTATGTACTCTTAAAAAGTTCGCCCTTGTTCTCTTGCCTGCCTTCTCCAAGAATAACTAAAACTACCAGATATTAGACAGGAACATATCTGGGATGGGATTTCTGCAGAGGGTCAGCCTGATCCCAGCGCCCGTCAGATGCCACAAAAGCTGCTAACTGGAGCCGCTTCCAGGAGGGAGGTTTACCACAAAATCCACAATCTGGTTCCCACGTTGCTTTAAGCCAGGGCTTTTCAACCAGTGGTACGGGTACCACCTGTGGTACATTGGCACCTGGCAGGTGGTACGTGACCATCATAGAAAAGGGGTAGCGGGAGAGAGGAAAGAGCTAAACTGGTGGCAGCATTGCACAACCCTGAACGAGAGATGGCTGGAGTTGCAAGGCTGTCAGGGCTCAGCGGAAGCACCAGGATCAGTGCCGCTTTCCAGCTGATTGGCGCTTCTTCGGGGCTGTCAGGGCTCAGTGGAAGCGCCAGGATCAGCACCAGGCTCCAGCTGGAGCTCGGCGCTGATCCTGGTGCTTCTGCTGAGCCCTGAAGAAGCACCAATCAGCTGGAAAGCAGCACTGATCCTGGTGCTTCTGCTGAGCCCTGAAGAAGCACCGATCAGCTGGAATGTTGCAGCATCTCCAGGGTCTTGTGATTTACATTCAGATGCTTGGCAACTGATTCATATTTATGATGGTCACAGTATCCCGGGATCATGTGAAGTGACCAAAACCTGCTGCAACCACCCAGCAGACGGGGGGGGGGGAATAAAAACCAAACACCCCCACCCCACCGCCTGCTGCCAATCCTCAACAGAAATGCTCACAACAGTGAAAACCTCGGACAGGAGGAAGAGCGCGGCCAGGTGAGCAGGCAGGTGTCTTGCTCAGCTGTGGCTTGGGGGGCACTTTTTTCAGTGCTGTTGTAACTTCGAACAGTCACTAAACAAACTGTTGTAAGTCGAGGACTACCTGTACTTTATCACTTTTTTCCTTTTTTTTTTTGGTGATCAAGTTTTTGACACCTTGCTAGACGACTGGTGATACTCGGATGTTGCCCTATCCTAAAAGTGGTACAGTGGGTGAAAAGGTTGAAAACCCCTGCTTTAAGCCACAGGGCACCTAAGTGCGCTTGGTTGAATGAATGGCCCATCGCTGTTTGGCTTGCAAAGCAGACCAAGCTATGACTCAGATTGACTGAGAGAACCTGCTAAGCTACGAAACAAACTGTGTGACGGTGGAGCATGACGACGCAATAACTCAACCAGGGGCTAGAGATGCAGCCTCTCCCAAAGTGAGGTTCACTTTCCCCACCCAGTGAATTGTCAGTGCCCCACATATTGTTATTGGGGAGGTGGGAGAGCAGGGAAAATCTGAAGGCATCAGAGGTTCCTTAAGATCAGAATGGCTCAAACTTTTCGGATGAAGCCACGAGAGATTGACTCTGTCTCCCCACTTCCTCCATCCTTCAGTCTCCCCACTTCCTCCATCCTAAGGGTCCATATGGATTTAAAACAGAACACTGAAATTAATAAGAATCCTCTTTTTGTGGAACACAATGGTTGTTTGGGGACTTCCGGTCCTGCGCAACAGCACAACAGTCGAGGGGTTTGGGACTCCGTGCCTTTCGGCTGAGTACTTCCTGTTAGGGGACCTTAAATGGGCCAGAAGCTGCCCCGAAGAGGTGGCAAAGAAGGAAGGAAGTCCCGGGGACTTTGGAGAGATGGCAGTCGACCCGATCGGTCCAGGAGAAGCCTTCCAGAAACCAACAGGAGAAAGGCTAGCCTAACTTCAGAGTCTAGCCCAGCGGTGGCGAACCTTTTTAGAGACCGAGTGCCCAAACTGCAACCCAAATCCCACTTATGTTATCGCTGGGTGCTGGGTGGGCGTGGCTAGGGTGGAAATGGTAGATTGGGTGGGCGTGGATATGGTGGGCGTGGCCAACTCGATGTTGCTCTGGCGGGTGGGGCAGTGGACAGGAGGGCATCTTGCTCAGCGGGCGGGGGGGGCATGGGGGGAGGCTCCTGAGCCCCGCAGCTCTTCCGAGGTGGGGAGGAGGGGCTGTGCTGGGATTGGGGCTCCTTGTGCCTTCCGCTGCCCGCTTGCACTCTGCCGAAGATGCTGCAGCTCTGCTTGCCTGGTAGGGCAGGGGCACACTCGCGCATGGGGACGTACATAGGGCTGCTGCCTCACTTTCCGTGCCTGCTTCCGCCGAAAGGTGCTCCCTTTATAGCAGTGGTTCTCAACCTGTGGGTCGGGACCCCATTTGGGGCCGAACGACCATTTCACGGGGGTCGCCAAACAACGCAGTCCGCCATTTTCTTTCCCCCTTTTCCTTAGCTGTGCTACTCCCTTTTATTCTATTGGCTTTTGAAAGCCAATAGAATAGACTCTCTTGAATAGAGTCTAATTCTATTGGCTTTCAAAAGCCAATAGGAATGGTCCAGGCTGTCTCTGCCCTGCTGAGCCTGCCAAAAGTCCCATTCTGCAAACGGTGCTGCACCAGTTGAGTAGTCCTCGACTTACGATCGGTTGAGTAGTCCTCGACTTACGACCGGTTGGGGGTCGCGGCATTAAAAAGGTTGAGAACCACTGCTTTATAGCCTCTTGCCTATTCCCAGACTGCGCATGTGCAGAGAGCTGCGCGTGTGCAGCTCTCTGCGGAAAGCTGCTCATGCGTGGAGAGGAGGAGGGAGCAGCTCGGCCCAGCATGCCATAGGTTCGCCACCATGGGTCTAGCCCAAGCTGCAAGCAACTGACATCACAAGCACTGTTTTAAACTGATTGTAAACAGCGCATTTGAATCTGGGTAAGAACATCGATTTTCTCTATTCTACTTATCAACTTTCCTGAAGGAAAAAAAAAACCCAAGGGCCAATGGTTGTTTGGGATTTTTTTGAGGGGAGGGGGGAAGTCATGATAAAATGGAGCAGAGACTCCCTTGGGGCTGACACTGGGTTGGAGCAAGCGAGGGGATGGAGACCGCGGCCCGCCCAGCGTGGGCTCACCTCGGCCGTTGATCTTAATTTTCATGGGCAGCTGCCGGGCCATGCTGAAGAGGTTCCTCTGAAAGGCCTGCTGGACAAAGCGCTGTTCTTCCTCCGTCATCCGCGCCATCTTCTCCGCCGGTTCCCCGGCCTCCAGCCGTTCCTTCAACTGTTCCAAGGTGGCCGTTCTGGTGGGGGCTGCCGTGGCCTGCTGGTTGGCCAAGCTCACGGGCATGGCGAGGCGATTTGGCGCGGAGGTGGTCAAAGGGAGGCCATCACCTGCAGCGGGGAGAGCAGTTCTCAGGACCTTCCATAAGGCGGGAGAAGCACCTTGGTTCACTCAAGAAACAGGCGACCGTGAAACCAAAGGCCAAGCTTTATCCTAGATTATAAAGATGGGCCTGACGTGGACAGCAAAAATCAGTCATGGAGCCAGCAGAGGACTTGGGACGGGGATGTCCAACACGAAGTCTCTAAGGTGGCATTCTGCCCATTGGTGGACTTCAACTCCCAGCATTCCCCAGCCAGAATGGAATTCTGGGAGTTGAAGTCCACAAGTCTTTTAAAGCTGCCAAGGTTGGACATCTTTGCTTTAGGGTAAACCCCAAAAGAGTTATATGCAGGCGGTGCCCAGGAAGGAAAGACTCTGAATAAGGACACAGAACAACTACAGACTTCTTGCCAGGCATCCAAAATCCACTGTATTTCCCATGGCCGTTTCTTAAAAGCTTTATGACTTCTCCGTTTAGCATCCTCCCACCTGTCCTAAAATCCTGGATTATCCTCAATCAGATGCAGCGATGCAGCCCTGCTTGGCATTCTTTTTAAAAAATCACCCAAGACCTTAACATCATCATCATCATAATCACCATCATCATCATCATCATATCAAGCACCTGGGGTGTTATGTTGCAGGTGCTTGACTTCAGAATTCAAACAGACAAGCACCTGCAACATAACACCCCAGACTTAACAATTGTCGATAAGAAAGACAAAAAAGTCTGGATAGTGGACGTGGCAGTGCCTGGAGACAGCAGAATAGACGAGAAAGAACTGGAGAAGATAACAAAATACAAAGACTTACAAACAGAAATAGAAAGACTGTGGCAAAAGCAAGCAAGGGTAGTACCAATAGTCATAGGCGCCTTGGGTGCAATCCCAAAACAACTGGAGCACCACTTGGACACCATTGGCATTGACAAATTCACTATTAGTCAATTGCAAAAGGCGGCCTTATAGGAACTGCTTCCATCCTGCGACGATACTTGTAATACCATCAAACATCCACATCTGCCTATCCCAGGTCCTGGGTAAGGACTCGATAGGTAGACAAAATGCCAAATCCAGTCTGAACATCAGTCTGAACATCCATAATAATAATAATAGTAGTAGCAGCAGCAGCAGCAACAACAACAACCTGGCCATCGAAACTGCGCAATTATGGATGAAACGTGTAACAGTGATACCCATTGTCATTGGGGCACTGGGAACTATGTCCAAAAACTTCGCACAATACATCAAGAAACTGCAGCTTCCTGCAATCACTCCAGCAATGTTACAAAAAACTGCGCTACTCGGAACATCTTATATTTTAAGGAGGTGCCTGGTGGACACCTAGGATGCTGGTAGCAACCCGTGTCAACCATCAGCGCCGGCCAATCTGAATGTTCCGTTGACTGAGGGTCATGTTTAATGAATAAAAGCTAATAATAATAATAATAATTTTGGAAAGGCCTGGCTCACCTTTCCTGAGAGGGCCTGCTGAAGACAGGTGTAGGTTGCTAGTTGTGCTGCTGGGGGTGAGGCTAACAAGGGGGAAGCGGATCTTGGGGGGACACAGGAGCGAAGGGGGTCCCGGGGTTGCGGGGGAGAAGCTGAATAAAGGGGAGCTGTAACTGGGCCGCCGGCCTTCCCGCCTGTTGCCGTCGATGGCGGCCTGCAGCTCAGCAGGTGAGCTTAAGGACTTCTTCTCACATTCGTAGGCGTAGAGGTACTTCATATACCTGGGGAGAAAAACGGAAGAGGCTCAGCTGGGTCAGGAGGCAAGAGAACGAGATGAAGTAGCAACGCATCTTGCGAAGTGTAGGACAAGGAGAGGCAGAGCCTGGGGACAGAGTCAAGAGAGGAATCAGCCTGGAATCGTTAGGTTGTCACAAACAGTCTAAGTCCAATCCCTCTTGAATTCAGTTATTTCTTATCTGGGGCCAATTTAGTCCAGACCGATAGGTGACTAGACTCTTGTGTATAGGTTTGAGCAATACTGTTCTGGTTCCGGCTAATGAAACATTCCAAAGAACTTCCAGGCATTGATTTTCCTAAAAGTCTTTTATTGTTACAAAATGTCGGCACAGGCAGAGGGATGCTAGGATCTAAGTTCTCTTCCTCTGAGCAGTTAAATTATCAGCATGTTCCCTCCCTAACTTAGCTGTCATATCTCACATTATCAAATTAGTATGAAGGTCAAATGTTTTCTTTCTCTTTCTTTCCCGGGCTTTAGCCCCAACCCTCCCTTCTGCTCTGTATTAACCCCATAATTACCAGACAATTCTACATATTGTCAAAAGCAAGAATATACAATATTTGCAGCGTTGACATATACATTAGCTTGGCTGAAACTCAACCTGTGCTCCCAATTCTTCACACCTGATAATAAGCCACTGTTGAATGAGTCCTGGCCTAAGAGGTAAACCATGATCCAGAAACCAAACTGGATTTCCTCCCCCTGTTATGTGCAAAAGACAAACAACAGGATTGCTTAGCATGGAAATGAGCAACTTCACTCAGCCAGAGACGTGACAAGTTGAGAGCCGAAGCCTAATTTGTAAGAGGGAGGGTTGCTAAAATATAGGCCTTCAACAACAAGAAAGCCCCACCTATTCTGACGGGATTCTGGTGTCACCAAGGAATGCTGTGAAGGCCTTCTGGTCCTATATGGCACCCTTATTACACCTCAGGCTTACCAAGGTGCAGTGTTTCTCCCCAGGCTGCCTGGGGAATTCTGGGAGTTGAAGTCCACCCGTCTTCAAGTTGCCCAGTTTGAGAGACCCTGCTAAGAGGGATGAATCCACATATTCTCTTGAGCTGGTGGTTTAATATCCTGGGTCGGTGATGGCGAACCTTTTAGAGACCGAGTGCCCAAAAACCGCCTCGCCCCTGCCCCGCCCCACCTCTCTTGCCTGCAGGGCCACCCACCTACCCCCTCCACAGCCCGCCCCAGCAGATCACCCAGGTGGCCCAGCAGTGTCATGGTGGCCACGCCCTCTGTCCGTGTCCCACAGCATCATCTGTACGGGGCCCGAGGGCGGAGTCTTGTCCCCGCTGCCCGGCTGCCATGTCCTTGGCTGTGCTGCTCCGTGCAGGCTAGGGTGACTCTCCTCTGGGGGGGTTGTGGTGAGTAGGGGGCCACAGGGGGTGGTGGGGCTGGGGCGATGGCGTGCATGCCCACAGAGAGGGCTTTGAGTGCCGCCTCTGGCACCCGTGCCATAGGTTCGCCACCACTGTCCTAGGTTGACGGTAAGCAGGTCAGATACTACACTGAAGCAAGACGTACACAGGGCAGGGGTGTCCAACCTTGGCAACTTCAAGACTTGTGGACTTCAACTCCCAGACACCAAGGGACCAAAGGCCTTTGACTCTTCTTCCTGTAATGCTCATCTCCAGCCCTGCCAGGACTTACTGGGTGCGAAGTGTAAACGCTGCGCTGGTGATGGAGGTGGGGAGGTTAAGGCCTTTGGTGATCTCCCTCCAGATCTTCTTGTTGATGATCTCCACCAAGCCTCCTTTTTCGGTCACCAGCTTGTAGAGCATATAGAGGTCGAGGATCTGCTTGGCCATGATCGGGATGCGGTTGATGGGTGTCCCTGAACGACAGCAGGGAGGAAAGAGAAAGAGTCAAAAAAGACAAGAGGTTAGCAGGAGACCTTCTACCTCGAACCGCTTCTACAAATCACCGAGAGCTCCTCATTTCCTTCCATCAATGGAGGTATTTTCCACCAGGACTTGAGACTTGATCCCTTTAATCTTCAGGACTTTTATTAAAGGCAAATTTAAGGAAGCATCATCTAACTGTATTCCCTGTCTTTTTTTTTTTTTTGTCTTTCGTCCCAGTCTCAAATGGGACATTCCAGACGAGGGCGTCTCCAAACTCGGCAACTTTCAGACTTGTGGCCTTCAACTCCCAGAATTCCCCAGCCAGCCATGCTGGCTGGGGAATTCTGGGAATTGAAGTCCACAAGTCTTAAAGTTGCCAAGTTTGGAGACCCCAGTTCTACACCATTGCTTCTCAATCTTGGGAACATTAAGATGGGTGGACTGCCATTCCCAGGATTCCCTAGCCAACATGACATGACTGACCTCTGACCTGCCCCTCACTTTGGTCTGAGATCCTTTGACACCCCCAAAGATTGTCCATCCCTCTTTCTCTAGGCACTACTGCACACAACCACCCTCCCATCAATCAAACTCTTAGGGCACACCACTCAAACGTTTGGTCTCGTTTACATAAAATAAATGAGTAGATTTGCTCTTAACACACAAGAAACACAGATCATTTCCCTTAAGACATGCTTCTCTCTGAAAGCCATTTTTCGAGCAGTAAAGTAGATTATCGGGTTAAGGTTTTGGCCTCGCGTTAGCATTTTATAAACCAATCTAGCCAGTGAAATCCTGAAGACACACACTGCAAAGAAAAATAGGAAATGCCACAGGGGGAAGATCACAGATAAGAGCCAGTTTGACCGGAAAGGGTGAGAAATCTCCAAACTTAAGAGAAGTTGCCCATAAGACAGATTTCCTGTAACTTGGGCTCAAGGTCCAGAGCAGAAAATATTGATGGACTATTCTACCACTTTTAATGTCTAAAAGCTTGACAGGTTAACACGTCTCTGGGTTGGGAACAAATGCTTCAGAGCTGCTGTTCTTGTGCATAGCCTCTAAGGCAGTGGTTCTCAACCTTTTTAATGCTGCGACCCCCAACCGGTCGTAAGTCGAGGACTACTCAACCGGTCCTAAGTCGAGGACTACTCAACTGGTGCAGCACCGTTTGCAGAATGGGACTTTTGGCGGGCTCAGCAGGGCAGAGACAGCCTGGACAATTCCTATTGGCTTTTGAAAGCCAATAGAATTAGACTCTATTCAAGAGAGTCTATTCTATTGGCTTTCAAAAGCCAATAGAATAAAAGGGAGTAGCACAGCTAAGGAAAAGGGGAAAAAAATGGCGGACAGCCTTGTTTGGCGACCCCCATGAAATGGTTGTTCGACCCCAAATGGGGTCCCGACCCACAGGTTGAGAACCACTGCTCTAAGGTTTGCTGATTAAAAATTGACACACTGTGCTGGTTGGCTTGATGTTGAAATTACTGAGTAAATCATAATTGGAAGATTGGTTTTGAGCTTGGCGTGGGATGTCCCAGAGGGTGTTCACAAGGCCAGATATAGGATGCCCAACTTGGAAAGGGGAACCTTTGCCATATATGATGGACATTGATGTTGGCTTTTGAGAAGGCCTAGAAGGTCAAGCTGGCTACAGATTAATTATGGCTTATTTATGGGCGAATCAAGCCAGGATTCTGTCCTTGAATGATCGCCAAAATGAGGATGGTGGTCTCCAGATGGAAGACAATTACAGGAGTTGGTGGCTGGCACACCTAAAGGACGCAATGTGGCCTCTAGAGATTCTATAAAAGCAATAGCAATAGCACTTAAGACTTATATACCACTTTGTAGTGCTTTACGGCCCTCTCTAAGCAGTTTAGAGAGTCAGCCTATTTGTCCCCAACAATCTTGGTCCTCATTTGACCGACCTCGGAAGGACGGAAGGCTGAGTCAACCTTGAGCCAGTCCAGGATCGAACTCCTGGCTGTGGGCAGAGTTAGCCTGTAATATTGCATTCTAAGTGGAAGGAAGGAAGGAAGGAAGGAAGGAAGGAAGGAAGGAAGGAAGGAAGGAAGGAAGGAAGGAAGGAAGGAATAGCACTTACACTTATATACTGCTTCACAGTTCTTTACAGCCCTCTCTAAGCGGTTTACAGAGTCAGCCTATTTGTCCCCAACAATCTGGGTTCTCATTTGACCGACCTTGGAAGGATGGAAGGCTGAGTCAACCTTGGGCAAGTTAGGATTAAACTCCTGGCTGTGGGCAGAATAGGTCTGTAATACTGCATTCCAACCACTGCACCACCCTAGCTCTTAATTTTAAAGAGCCAACCTTTTAAAACAACCTGCATTTTCTAGCACACAAAACAGAAAAATCTATCCATCAGGGCCCCAAACACTTTGCAAATGCAAGCCACCTGCCAAGAGAAGCTCACGCAGGACCCCTGAGCTTTCAAGTTTACCAACAAAAATGTCATCCTCCCTAGCTTTAACGGACAATTTTTGTGCTGCTGTTCAAAATGCTATAATAATAATAATAATAATAATAATAATAATAATAATAATAATAATAACAGCAACACTCGATAGGTAGACAAAATGCCAAATCCAGTCTGAACATCTGGCTGACTGTGCGATGATCCATAATAATAATAGTAGTAGTAGTAGTAGTAATAGTAATAATAATAATAATAACCATTAAACATCCAAATTTGTCTATCCCAGGCCCTTGGTAAGGACTCGATAGGTAGAAAAAATGCCAAATCCAGTCTGAACAATCTGGCTGACTGTGTAATGATCAATAATAATAATAATAATAATAATAATAATAATAATAATAATAATAATAATAATATCCAACTTGGACAGCCCATTTAAGTTTTTTTAAACTCAAGCCAATGGAGAGATTATCTGAAGAACAGAATAAAATATGTTCCTATCCTATGGGGGGGGGAGATGATTTGCCTTCCCATTCTGGGGGGGGTCTGCTCCCTCAAGAGCCTTTCACAAGCAAAGGTGAGGAGAAATAAACACACACACCCAGTAAGTGTGGAAAGGTCTCGTATTGGGTGCCCTCCCCCCACCTCCCCTTCCAGAGCCAGCCCTCCTCCCCCCCCCCCCCCTCAGAAGGGGCTGGTGATAAGTTGTTCCTGGAAGCCCCTGGTGCTGAAACGGGAAAGCTGAAAAATGAGTATCATGGGATGGAAGGAGGCCAGGCCTGATCTTTTCACAGCTGGCTGCAAGGCTTGTCAGAGCTCATGATGGATGACTGTCATCTGGCAGGGTGGGGATTAATGATCTGTGGGTCAGAGGGGAGAATTCCAGAGGGAAAGGTCACCGACCGCAGCAAAGGCATAAGAAGACTTGTTGCTGTTTGATACAGGGGCCTTTTTTTTTTTTATTACTGTATTTTGCAGCCTCTTTTTCTCTCTTTCCCATTCCAAGCCTGCGCAGGGACCCTGAGTTTGCAACTCTGCAAAAGTCCCCATCTTTGTTAGCTGAGAGAGGTCAGCCCCTGCTCTGCCCTCGGATGTAATCTGGAGGTCCCAATTCCACGGCTGGGCCTGCCCCTCCCCTCGGGCCCTCCCAAACTATGTGGGTAAATCAAAATCAGACCAGGTTTAGCCACCAAAGCAACAGTCGCCCAAAGACTTCAAAAGAAAGCAGCTTTTTAACAAAGAAAGGCTTGAATCATCAAGTTTTGCAACCTGGAATCAAGAGAGCCCACTGTGTTTCTCTCTTTCTCTCCATAAAAAAAAAAAAAAAAATCTAAAATAACTAAAATGACATCCTTTGGTTAAAGTAAAAGTAGTTACTGAAAAAACACTTTTTCAAATTGTTGAAAACATGGGGCGCCCATCGATATTAGCTCAGCATTCACCGACTGGAAATCTTTATCAGTAGTTGAGTAACAGTCCCCATCAAATTCAATCAGGCTATTGAAGACAAATCTAATCAAAAGATCCAGAATATCTGCCGCTCATTTTTTAAGGGAAAGGTGAGCTGTCTGCATCACCCTAAACCTTCTTTCCTAAGGTAGTTTTCCCTCAATTTCTCCCCAACTAAGTTTGTGCGTGGTGAATGGAGTTAATAAAAACAGAGACAGATATGAAAGGACTGAGGGCCACAAAGCCAAACTTTTCTAGTGTAAAGCTGCCAACCCAGTGAGACAGAACAGAATAACAGTGTTGGAAGGGACCTTGGAGGTCCTCTAGTCCAGCCCCCTGCTCAAGCAGGAGACCCTATACCATTTCAGACAAATGGCTGGCCAGTCTCTTCTTAAAAACTTCTAGTGTTGGAGCATTCACGGCTTCTGGAGGCAGGTTGTTCCACTGGTTAATTGTTCTCACTGTCAGGAAGTTTCTCCTTAGTTCTAGGTTGCTTCTCTCCGGAAGCAAGGAAGGAAGGAAGGAAGGAAGGAAGGAAGGAAGGAAGGAAGGAAGGAAGGAAGGAAGGAAGGAAGGAAGGAAGATGGGAATGGAAAGAAGGAAGGAAGGAAGATGGGAATGGAAGGAAGGAAGGAAGGAAGGAAGGAAGGAAGGAAAGGAAATGGGAAAGAAGGAAGGATGGGAATGGGAAGAAGGAAGGAAGGAAGGAAGGAAGATGGGAATGGAAAGAAGGAAGGAAGGAAGATGGGAATGGAAAGAAAGAAGAAAGGAAGGAAGGAAGGAAGGAAGATGGGAATGGAAAGAAGGAAGGAAGGAAGATGGGAATGGAAAGAAGGAAGGAAGGAAGGAAGGAAGGAAGATGGGAATGGAGAAGGAAGGAAGATGGGAATGGAAAGAAAGAAGGAAGGAAGGAAGGAAGGAAGGAAGGAAGGAAGGAAGGAAGGAAGGAAGGAAGGAAGGAAGGAAGGAAGGAAGGAAGGAAGGCATTAGAAGGCACCAGTCATGAAGAAATGTTGTCGGCCATTAGATTCTCTGTTCACATGAAAGGACACCAGCTCTGCCCTTCAATTTTATTTGAAAACAAGTAAGGCAAAAAGCTGA